CACACGAATGTCCTTGGCATCCTCGCCACTATCCAAAATTGCAGCCACATCCGTGATAAAAACGAATTTATTGGTTTTCTTACTGGAACAGGTTGGCACGCGATGATGGTTATACTTTCACGTTTACAAGCGAAAATATAAATGACTGGAGAGGAAGCAGAATTTGGGAAGTCCATCCCGAGAGTTACCTAAGGACAACCTTATTATCCACCCGTTTCCTCCTTTATAGAGATTTGGACCATTCATCGTGTCTTTTCAATCCACTAAGTGAGGAAACAAACCTTTTCGCCTCTCCGAGATGCGATGGTTCTTAAAAATGCGTTGCGAGCAAATATACCTCAATTTTGTACCCTGGAAACGCAATGATAACGAATTGTGTTCCTTGTGTAACTCAAAAATAAAGGAAGATGTTTTTCACTTTGTGGCTGAGTGCTCGATTTTGTCAGAATATCGCCTTCTGCATCTGGGTGTTCCTAGCCTTTCCCGAGTTGTTTAAACGAAATAAGAAATTGTAAAGCCCTTGCATACTACGCTCGCGATGCCTGACAATATAGGTATCAACTGATTCAGCAGTTCAATTGGTGAGAACTTTTCCAGAAAAAAAAGTAATATATAATTGTATGTGACTACATAAAATGAATACACAGTAACAATATATATGAATACACAATACATGAATAACACAAAATATTTAACAGCAAAAAACTCAACACGTAAATTAACAGTTCAACGGTTTACACCATTCAAAACCCTGTACCAGTTAAAATTAAAAAGACAAGACTGATTGCACAAAAGGCACCGACAATGTTAACACAGAACACACGGATAAATAAAACAATTTGACCAAATTGTGTTCCTTTTGGAGTAGGCTCCGACTGGCTTATTAAGCTAAAAAGTCGGATAATAAGTAATGAACTGGGCCAAGAACTAAATAAACACCACTTACATAAGGATGCTCTCAAGGAGAAGTACTATTGCCTTCTTCTATGTTTGATTTAGTAGATGACCTAATCACAGACCTTAACAGTTTATAGTACCATACAAAAACATTTGATCCCACTCGGTCAAATCAGATGCAAATACAAAGCGTCCTAAACATTGTAGGATGGTGCGAGAAATGGATTGAAACATCATCCCTAAGAAAACATCTCTCATATAATTTTTAAGCTAAAAGCACTCTAAAGATGAAGCCAAAGAAACTAAGTGTCTAGTTAGCTAAAGCTCAAGTGGAGAAGTCATGTAGCCAACATACTAATTAAGGCCTAGCATCAAGCATTGATCAGAGATTATGCATCAACTGAGGTTCAATCCCAGGATGATTGAAAGGTACATAGAGTTTTTTTTCGCTTCTGCAATAACTAATTCAATGCCTTGAAAGTTCCAGTTTTATTGCATCGTGAAAAATTTCTAATTCACCAAGATTCCTTATTCGAAGAAGAGCTCTCATAAATCGCTATCTACTTACATAGAAATCGTGGACGTGCTCATCTAACTTTACTTTCAAAGGTGAAGCCTTTTCGTAATATTATAAACCGGCTCTAGACGTCATCGGCTTATTTTTTTTTCGCTTCAAAAAGTAGGCTAATCTCTTATATTATCTCGAAATGACTTCGGATGAGCTGCAGGTACATCTCCTGTGGATAGCCGAACGGAGCAAACATGGCTACTTTACTTTTTTAACGAAAGGAAAATAGACTAGGTGATTTTTCATTATCGAAAATTCAAAAAGGGTCGCTTTTCTCACTTGTATTATCGTAATCGAGATAACACAAGCAGGGCTGGAGGAAAACAAACACAATTTCCGGCGAGATAAGCGATATAAACAGCCGGTTCAACACTTTTTGAAAATTTTCATCAATTTTAAAGTTTCCCGTAACAACAAATTGGCGATAATTATTGGGGAAAAATCTTATAGTTCAATGTTAAATAAAACCGTAAATAAGTATATTCAAAAGTAATTTACTTAAAAACACACTTTGTGGTATTATGATTTATGACATTGCGGCGAGATAATTTTGGAAACAAATTTATGCAATATCAGCATTTATTTCTGCTTGCATAGTTGTAACCAGACAAAATATCAATTAAAAAATAAAGTTAAATACGGTCATCTATCCCTACGAGAGTAACTTATCGCTCAACCGGTCTTTTTATTGGCAACATACCTAACCATCTGCCTAAGAGGTGTAACATAATATTTCTACTCTTCACCGCTTAACAAAATCGGATGTTTATCTTGCTAGTAAAATGATATACTTTCATGAGGTCATCTCAGTAAGGAAAGTCAGGCAAATATTGGGGTAAAGTTCAACTAACACTTCACTTATCGTTTTATATAACGATATAGACCTCCTTTTAAAATCAGGAGAGAGTAAGTGAAAACGTGCGTGCGTGCGTGCGTGTGTCTGTGTGTGTGTGTGTGTGTGNAGAGAGAGAGAGAGAGAGAGAGAGAGAATGTTGATGTAAGTTCCTAAATCATGACTTAGTGAAGCAGCAGACGATATTATATAAAAACATAACCCAAATACATTATCAATTTGACTTAACATGTAGTTTTATAGCGGTTGTACATAAAGAGCGGTCGCGAAGCGTGAAAAACATTTTTACACCTCGTCAGAATTTAATCGTTTGATCTGTGTCTCGTGTGCGCGTTGAGTGGGAAAGTCTCGTCGACATATGAAAAACGTCCTCGGAGCTCATTTTACAATAGTTGACGAGACGTGAGTTAAAATCGGCCCGGGCCGGCGAGACCGAAATAGCACATCGTTCGAACCCACGTTCCACTCTACGGTGGACGAGACGTGTTCAAAATCCCTCCTAGGTAGTTCGATTTTGCAGAAAGTTCTGCCCTTCTTTCCAACTGGAGCGAATAAAACCACCAACCATGGCACGAGGGAATAAAAAGAGCATTGAACCATAAACGGTTACTCCAATTATCTATCACTCTTTTTACCTCTTATTTTTCATCCTACGAAATGAATTTTTTAACATACTCTAATATTCGCAACAGTGCTTATTTTAGTAAATGAAAAAAAGCTTTTTACTACTTCCTATTTATCTTCTCAAGTCCAAGGTGAACCAGTGCGTTCGTACTCAAAAAGGTATAACATAAATGATGGCAAGGTATTGCCAAAACCGACCAAAACTGGCAAAAAATCGCTTAATCATTGTTAAATACAAGTTTCTAAATTCAGCCTTTTGTGAATAAAGTTCGATACATTGCATTTTTAACAGCGGAAAAAATAGTGCTCAATGCACAGATTTACGCACCCCAATTTATTTAGTTTAAAGTTAAATCCATTATCTTTCCACATTTTTTTTATTATTATATTTCTTGCTTTAAGCATACAGCAATAGTTCACTCATATTTAATAAATACATAGGTACACATCACGTTTTTTATTCATTTAAATTTTTTTAAATGGATTTTTGGGAGGTTGAATACAATTCTTTCCTCTACTGTGACCTAAACAGATCTACTGTGGAAAACCTTCAGCTTATACCTTGAAAAGTACGTTATTCCTTATAAAATGAACACTTCCCTTGGTGCCTCTTTATAGATCTTGAGTATGAGAAATGTCCTTCTGAAGAGGCTGATTCGTAAAAACGGGCTCTTTTCAAAAAAGCCGATACCCCGTGGGTTGACATGACGTCTGTTGATGCAAACCCTCGAATTAAAAAATGGTTATTAATAGTTAATTGGTTATAAAGTATTATCGAATAAACTTACATTCTAAATTGGAAAGACGAAGACAGATCACCATGACAGGAAACAACCAAACTACAGATTCATCACCCCCACAGATCCCAAAGAAAATCTAGTTTTTTAACTATATTTTTTATTTACTTTATTTATTTGTCTTTTTTCTTTGTTTAATCGAAACTTTTTTTTTTGGAGGGGGGTTATGCAGAATACAATTCTTTCCTTCGAACATGTCTATTGAGGAACCCCTATAGCTTATAAGTTATAACTTATAACCATACCGTGGAAAGTGCGCTATTCCTTATATTATCTTTCCTATATCCTGAGCACTTCCCTTGGTGCCTATTTGTGGATCTTCTTGGGTATGAGAAATGTTTCTATCTATCTATCTACCAATTTATCTAAGTTTCTCTTCCTCGCACTCGCACCTTCTCTCAATATTTTTCTCTGCTTAGAAGCTATCTAGTAAGTACTATTATTTATTCATTGATTTTGTTTGCTGACTCTTTTTTATGAATCAAATCATAGACCTCAACAAAACATCTCACAAATTATTATTTATTTAGAAATCGTGAGATGCGGTCTGGTGTGATGTAGGTTTCAGAAAAACATTTTCTTTATCGTGCGAACGTTTCGATCTTTATTGAGATCATCTTCAAGTGTCGAGAGTGCCAGTGAGATTTTGCTATTTTGTGTTTATATAAGTGACACGACACGCAAGAATGGCACAATTACACAGAAGACAAACACTTTGAGTGAGTAGAAATACTTTGATTGAATATATAAAATATATTTTGCATTGTATAAATTCACTTTTCCACATCCAAAATGTAATTGTAATATGTAAACAATGTTTGTAAATCCCAGGCCCTGAAGATGATCTCAATAAAGATCGAAACGTTCGCACGATAAAGAAAATGTTTTTCTGAAACCTACATCACACCCGGCCGCATCTCACGATTTCTAAATAAATATCGATTAACGGTCACTAATCACCACTCAAATTATTATTATTTTTTTTTTTTTTTGTGTTGACGCTTTTATAAAACTCCTGATGACTTGAATCTGAATACAATTTGGAAAGGAATAAAATTGAGAATTTATTAGATGTTTTAATTTTCGAAGGATACTGGAGGGAAATTTAAATAAAAAGGACTTGCGCGGTATCGAAAGTAAAGGGAAAGGTGCTTGCGTGCTGCGTGCCGCGTGCTAGGGGTGGGGATAGAGCATGAATCACGTAGTAGAAGAGGCGCCCCACCCGCCGTCACGCATGGCACGTTGCATAACCGAAAGTATAACCCTTCTCCCAGTTGTGTAACCTCCGCCCTTAGATCTACTCCGTTCTGTGGCACTTCGTTCAGCGGAGCCGAACCCAGTGCCTGACAGTCGAGTTTCAAAGCTTGCCGCCCTTTCCGCCGAGATGGGATGATCTCCTGAACCATCCGCAAAGTTTCAAGCGCGTTTATTATTTAAAATAAAAACCTTTCGTTATGCTTGAAGGGCTCGTCGCCTGGGTGATCAACAACTACCTGGGCAAGTATGTCGAGAACCTCAACACAGACCAGCTCAGCATCGCCATCCTCCAAGGTGAGACAACCGGACCGAAGGCAGGACATACCATTGCATGTCCTGACATCCTCAATGTTAAAGGATTAAAGAAAAATCAATAGGCATGACCGTGTAGTGTGTTCGACTGTTTTTTTTTACATTTCGTCGAATCATCGTGTGACCTTAACACTTTTACATATGCCCACTCCTGGCAATCACACCAGCAAACAATCCGGGAAAACTGTCAAACTATTTTAAATTCCTTATCATCCGTCGTGACGAAAATAACAATTTTACAACACTCCAACAGAACGGACTTCTGCCACTTTTTTCCTTATCACTGAGCTAATTACAAATTCTATTTTTTTGTTTAGACATTCCTCCATCCATATTTTTGAAAATTTAGGATTATTAAAAAAATCAATTATTTACGATATGTACCATTTTTAAGCCTTAATAAGGAAAATAGTTGATACTTGGTAACGCTTGTTATAAATTGTAGACAATTGACAATCTTTTCATCAATCCAATTCAGCTTTATTAAGACAAAAAATACAATTTCAACCTCCCATTAACAAACCCGTTTTCAAAAATTAAGTTGATAAAAACGATAGCTGGTAAACATGTTAACCACAAAGAAGGTTTTTAATTGATAATAATTAGTATTAATCAACTGATAATAGTAAAAAAAATTGTGCTTCAAATCTTCACTAGTAGTTCTATTCATTCCATCATAATTCAATTAAAAAAAAAAAAAAAATGTTCATTGGATCTAATGTGATGACTGTGGTTTGATCATTTCCAATCATCATGCCCTTCCCGCTGAACACATTAGCAACAGCAATAGCAACAAAACACAACTGGTTGTTCTGGTGTTCGGCATATTTTTAACTCATAAAAACACATTATTGCACAACTGGCTGTCGGTTTATATGAAAATGTTTTTATTGTTGTCTTCTGGCTAATTTTACATTTCAAGTTTGTCATACTGATTGATCAACTGTCCCAGTACAAATTTATCCATAAAAAAGGTTTCTAGTTTACAATAATTAACATATAACATTATACTTAATATTAATAAATTGACAGTGGTAAAAAAACAATCAATTGTACATCAAATTTTCACTAAAAGTTTTATTCACAGATTCCATCAAAATTCAATTTAAAAAATAAATAAATAAAAGATTTACTCATTGGATCTAATGTGATGTCAACGTAGTTTGATCATTTCCAATCATTGTGTCCTTCCTGCTGTACTGATTCCTTTGTTTTTTTACAATCACGTAAACATACAACTGGTTGTTATAGTATTTGGCATGTTTTTAATTCATAAAAACATTATTGCACAACTGACAGTCGGTTTATATGAAAATGTGTTTACTGTTGTTTTCTTAAAGTTTTATGTACTGATTGATCAACTGTCGCAGTACAAATTAATCTGCAAAGAAGGTTTTTAATTGATAATAATTAATATATAACGTTGTACTTAATATTAATAAATTGACAGTGGTAAAAAAACAATCAATTGTGCTTCAAATTTCACTAGAAGTTTTTATTCACAGATTCCAACAAAATTCAATTGAAAAAACATTAAATTCACTCATTGAATCTGGTGTGATGATTCTGTAGTTTGATCATTTCCAATCATCGTGTCCTTCCTGCTGTACTAATTCTTTTGTTTTTCACAATCGCGTAAAAATGCAACTGGTTGTTATGGTATTTGGCATGTTTTTAATTCATAAAAACACATTATTGCACAACTGACAGTCGGCTTATATGAAAATATGTTTACTGTTTTATAAAAATTTATCCATAAAGAAGATTTTTAATTGATAATGATTCATTTTAATCAACTGACAATAGTAAAAAAAGAAAAAAAAAGAAAAACAATCAATTGTGCTTGCTAATTATTGGATGTGGTGTGAAGACTCTGTAGTTTGATCATTCCCAATCATTGTGGCATTCCTGCTGTACTGATTCCTCTGTTTTTCACAATCAAATCAAAACAGATCCTGTTGTTATGGTATTTGGCATAATTTAACTCATAAAGAGAATTATTGCACAACTTACAGTCACTTTGTATAATTTATTTTTAAATTTTTCGTACTGATTGATGAACTTTTGCAGTACAAATTTAACCACATGGAAGAATTTAATTGATAATAATTAATATATATCATTATACTTAATATTAATCAATTGACAATAGTAAAAAAACAAAACAAAAAACATTCAATTGAGCTTCAAATATTGACAAGGAATTTGATAACAGAGGTTCCATCATTGTTCAATAAAAAATATAAAAAATCAATTGTGCTTTAAATATGAACAAGAATTTTAATAACAGGTCTAACAGTTTGATTTTAAAAAATCTGTGGGGATGATAACCTGTATTTTGGTTGTTTCCGATCATGGGAATCTACCTGTCCTCACTGCTTTGGTCTTTCCAATTTAGAATCTAAGGCTATTCAATAATGCTAACTTTTTTTTTTAAATACAAGGGTTGCATCAGCAGAGGCTATGTCAAACCTTGGGGTATCAGCGTTTTGAAAAATTTGATTAAGCAAAGAAAAAAGATGAATAAATAGTGTAAAAAATACCAGATTTTCTTATGTGATCAGTGGGGGTGATTACTGATTTGGATATTTCCAATCATGGTGATCTGCCTGTTTCCGTTGCTCCGATCTTTCCAATTCATTACAAAAAAAAACAACAAAACAATAAATAAATAAATAAATTTAACTCATAAAAACACTTATTACATAACTGACAATTGTCTTTTATGGTTGATCAAGATTCATAGTACAAATTTTCACAAAAAAATTAATACTGGTTCTACTGTAGTATTCATTAAAAAAAAGATACAATCATCCTTTTTAACAATAATTGACAATTCTCTGATTTTAGAACATAATTTTTACAATATGTTTGTAAAAGGTAGTTGATCACATTTGAACTTAAAAGAAAGTGAATATTTGGAGATTGTGCGATGTCGTCTGGTGGTTCATCTCACAATCTTCAAATAATCATTAACTATAAACATAAACACCACATGTTAAAAGAAAGTTTTAATTTAATTGTTACAGGACATCTTGGTCCACTTAATCTTGCTGGGTTGGGCTGTATGATGCCCCTCAGCTCCTCATCATGTTCTGTTTTTAATAATAATTTTGATTAAAACCCAACAAACCAAAATTCGTCTAACATTCCAAAATTACGATGATAGGCACACTCAGAAAGAATCAAACTACAGGTTCATCACCTTGGACCTCACAGTTTTAGGATGAACATGCAGTGAAAAATTGACAATAACGGTCCACTAATAATATTAATACCATTCAAAAAACTTTATTTTCACTTTTATTCAAATGACAGGCCATCCCAGGAAGATGATAAGTAATAAAAAAATTTCATCAGCCCACAGGCCAGAGGAGGAAATCTCACGTTAAAAAGAAAGTTCTGTTAAGAAAAAGAAAGAAATGTTATTGATTAATCAACTGACACAAGTGAAATATAATTCATTATTTTACTACAAAAAAAAAAACAAAAAAACAAAAAAAAACTGTTGACCCAAAAATTGATAAACGCTGATTTCATTTTTTTACGCAATCAAATCAAAACAAAAACCTGTTGTTTTTACTCATAAAATATTCATAGTATTAACACTTGTTGCACAATTGACAGCCAACTGATTAATTTTTTTTTATTAAATAGATTTTTTGAGTTTCTAATACTGATTATTCTACTGCCAATTCAAAATGATAGTTTACTTGTAGACAGGTGGTAGATCTTATCCACTTTACTTAGCCAAACTCATAAATTCATTATGGTTGAAGGCAGAATTTTTAATATTGTAGTTACGTGTTTATATTTGTTAAAAGGGTAAATCATTAGAAAAAAATTCATAGTCCTTATATTCCCAGAAAATTTGACGAAAAACAGTGTTTTTCTTTTGTTCAAAATTGAGTGAGTACAAATACTTTGAGTCTAAAATTTATAGCATTGTATAAATTCATCTTTTCACATCCTACATGCATTTGTTCAATTTAAACAATGTTTATAAATCCCAGGCCCTGAAGATGATCTCAATAAAGATTGAAATGTTAGCACGTAAAATAAATAATGTAATAAAATAAAAAATAGAGGGTGTACATAAGTTAAACTCACCCTGCATATGAAGTTCTTACATTTTTTTTTATAACCGTAAATTTGTACATTTTAAGTCTGTCTGTTACACAAACTAAATGTGCAATTTTTATGGCTTGTTAAAAAGACATTGCAATTGCTTTGTTTTATTATTTTTTGAACATCATCATGATTTTGTGTCATTTTTTTAACTTAATTTAAATTATGATTATCAAAATTATCATATATATTATCATGCCTTCTGTGGCTTTATTTGTTTAAATAATAATTTGACCTTTCTATTGCTATAGGGTTTTGTATATCTTTTGTGAGTTGTCTGTTTATAGAATGTCTGTTTATAGAATATCTGTTTATAGTCATCTATGTTGCTGTCTTTCATTTTCAATCTTGCTCACCTTTAAAACAACACATTGCTACTCTCGTCCCAAGCATGAAAAACATAATTATGGAAAATAGGAAATGTGTCCAAATAAACCATTTTAACTGGAAAATATTGAAGATTTGTTAATAGAAGCTAGTCAATATTGGATCATTTCCAAAAAGTCATAGGCTGCACTTACTTTTACTACACTGCACTTTTACTTACAAGTTTTGTACAACCAGTCACTTGGTTCATTATTGATTTTTAATCTTAGCAGAAAAATGTGAGAAAATAATGATTTCAATAAAAATAAATTTTTAGGAAATTTAAAAAAACTTGTGTAGTGTGAAAATATAAATTAACTTGGCCCTTATCATACATAGATAGCTACGGAGTGCAAATATTATGAAAGTTGAATTTTAAATTAATCCAAATTTGCTTAGTGGTTATAATTGATCATATTAATTATTCCAATTGATTATACTTTTTATCTAAGGTTTTTGGTTGAGATGAAAAATTAGTGTCACGAGCAGGATTCTAACCCATGACCTTCGGCTAGTTTAGATAAAACCTTATATAAAAGGAATAATTAATTGGAATAATTAATACGGTCAATTATGACCACTAAGCAAATATGGAGTAATTGAATAATTCAAAAGAAATAATTACTTCACTAACTACTCCCACCCATAGGTCGCTAAGAATTGTGCAATCCTGATTACACGACATTTGAAAATATGGCCAAAAGAGGGAAAATTCGAAGATTGTAGGTTGATATGAAAGGTTGGTGTCCGAGGGGATCGAAGTCACAATAGCTCAAGTGGTAGAGCTGCGGCGTATTTGAAGGTCTTGGGTTCGAATCCTGCTCGTGACACTAACTTTTCATCTCAACCAAAAACCTTAGATAAAAAGAATAATTAATTGGTTTAATTTTAAATTGATTTTTCTTTAATTTTTAACAGTTATTGGATTTAAATAAACCTACATTAATAATAAATGCAAAGCATATATTTAAATTTGGACTAACAATTATGCAATAATATAAAAGTATAAATAAATAGTTTTGAAATTTAGTCATGAAACTATAAGTGAAATTATGCAGGTGCTGTTGAGTTGGAAAATCTACCATTAAGGAAAGATGCGCTGAGGCAGGTCGGTTTGCCGATTCAGGTCAGGGCTGGGCTTATTGGTAAAGTGAAACTCAAGATACCTGTGAGCCAAATCACAAGCGCACCATGGGAGATTTACATGGAAAAACTGTATGTTGTGGCAGGCCCTATTCGTCTAACAGAGGTATTAAAAAAAATATATATGTTATTTATTTTATATTTTAAATCATTTTTATAACAGCTGGACGAAGAGGCGGAAGAGCAGGCGTTTCAAGACTACAAGCTAGGACAGCTCGATGCTGTGGAGGCCTTGTGGCGGTCAGAGACAGAGACCTCCCAGGACACCAGCTATTATGCAACAAGCTATTCCTCATGGTTTGGCTTGAGCATGAACTTTGCGGCGAACATAATCGAAAACCTTCAGGTAAATAAAACACATTTGGACCGAATACAAGAAAATGCAATTTCTGGCAAAGGGTTTATTTTCTAATTCTGTACAGAGATATACTGCACATACTCTGTTTGTTTTTTACATTCAAAACATTGGCAGTAATTCAGGGTCATTGAAATGACAGTGGAAATTTCAACTGAAATATGAATATCTTTATTAAAAATAAATGATCAACATAAAATTCAAATTATTGTAAGGAAATTACAAATTACAAACAATGATAAACCAAAATTTGATATTTTGTAGCCATGTTTTTGCATATTAGGCAGAGTATGAGTATGAGTATAGGAATGGAACCCATGAGCTTGATCTACAAGCCTAGAGTCTGACACACTAACGACTTAGTTACCGCAGTTCCTGTTACAAACTTTAAATTGATTTTTAAATTTATTGTTTATGTACAGTTTGGTTCAATCCTATTAACTAGTGAAAATTTTCTTTAAATCAAATACTTTTCAGCTTTTGGTCATCTTCATTAAGGAAGTGAAGGAAAGAGTTCCTAACTGAAGATGGTGCAAAGCAGAAATGCATTTGAGTCATGTTGAAACTCATGAGGGTAAATGGACCCTGTAACTGACCTGGTGCTAGTTCAACTTGTGTTCGCCAATTTGTATACAACACTGCCTTACTATTTTCTGTGATTTCAGTTGAATGTTAAAGATGTCCACATACGTTATGAAGATGACATGACGATTCCCAACAAGGTGTTCGCTTCTGGGATCCATATCGAATCGCTATCTGTTCAAAGTTGCGACAACTGCTGGAACCCTTGCTTCATATCCACGTCGACCTCTTCGGAATCGTTCAAACTGATGGAGATGTCCGGATTTTCCGTTTATTGGGATCAGATAGAAAAATCAGATCTTTGGGGTGATCTTGCATTATTGGACTTAGCAGTATGTTTCTATTTTCATTTATTCTATCTTTAAAATATGTTTAAACTTTTTTTTGTACAACAGGTAGCAATGAATAATAAAAAACTAGCTCATGAGTATATCTTAAGTCCAGTTAATGCAAAAGCGCAGGTCAAAAGAAACAGGAGTGAAAAACCTTTAAGATCAAGAGTCAGTCCTAGGATCGTATGTGATCTCACTCTAGATCAAGTTCCTTTAACACTTACGGAGGTGAAAATATCTTATTATTAAATAATATTAATATTAATAAACATAAACGAATAAATCAAGTGTATATATTTATAAAAAGAATTCACTTATTAGTAGACATGTTTGTTGGTTACAGGTACAGTACAGTGAGATGGTGAGATGCAACAGAGGCCTGAAAAGCCTGCAGAGACGGCATGGACATTTCAGGGCTCGTCCTAAGGTGTCTGTGCATGAAAATGCAAAGCTCTGGTGGTTGTATGCCATTGGTAGGGTGGTCAAGCCTCAACCGACATGGGAATCAGCATACCAAAGAGCAAAAGACAATATTGCTTATGTTCAACTTTACTCCAGGCTTTTGACAAATTCCACTTCTCCACTTTCCCCCGAGGTCAAAGCTTTCAAAGACAGAATAGAGTGGGAGAGGGATTTTGAAGAATTAAAAGCTCTCAGGGGTGTAAGTATAAGAAAATGAAAACCTTGTTGGCTATAAATTTAACAAATTACTCCTTCATATTAGAATTTTATGCACTTTAAAATAAAAGTCATAAAAGAAAATTGTCTTTAGGTTGCGATGAGTCAAACACGGCCTGTTAAGAATAGCAAAGCTTCAACCAACTCGCAAGTACAGGGTGTGAGTATTCTCAGCAGGTGGTTTCCCGGTTGGCAGTCGTCACAGCCCACACCAGCCTCACCACAGAACCTTGCTCTAGAAGAAAAGATCCTGGACGCTCTGGCCGACTCAATTGAGAACAACACTATCCTCAAAAGAGATACGGTGTTTGGTCAGTTTAACTTCACCTTACAGCAGGGTGCTTTTAACCTGTGCACCGATTCAAGAAATCCACTCATGGAGTTGCAGTTCGAGAATGTTACAGTGAGGTTTGAATCGCGACCAAGAACAGGGTCGCATGGTTTCAACATATCATTGGGAGCACTGTTCCTCAAAGACCACCTTTTTAAGGATTCAGCATTTCCTGTTTTGATATCTCCTCAGAGTAAGTGATCACAGCCAAGTAAAAATTTTGTATTCTATCAAATTAGTCTACTTAGTCTATTTAAACTACAATTAATAATCAGTTTACATTATTACTTTATATTGGGCTGATGCAAAAATAATGCAGGTTTTGAAACGGTCAAAACTATTTTTAATTAAAAAAAACAAAAAAAACCACAATCTATACGTCTTTGTCAACACGTAACAAGAGCTTCTATTCCCCTGACATAAAAATCTTTAATTTGACCCATTAAAGTCTTGTAAGGTGTTTTCGACTTCTCGCATTCTCTAAAAATTTTACCCCTCAAGAAGCGATCAAAATGCCTAAAAAAGTGGAAGTCTATAGGCGAGAAGTCGGGTGAATGTGGAGGGTGCGGTAAGGTTTTTTATATCTTCTCTGTATCGTTCCAATTGTAGTACATGTACTGCTGAAGCAAGGAGAGGACATCACCAAATCACTCCCTGAGATTAAATGGTCAAAATCTTGGGGTTTGTGAACAGGTCCAAGAGGTTTATGCAGGACACTTGAGCTGACCAAGTCCTGGACCTTTTAGGGATGGGATACGAGTCAACCCAGGCATTTAACTCCTCGGGTCTTGGTTGCCCACCCTGCATAATATATATAATATAAGCAATGAAGTGCGAATATAGGGATTCATAAGTATGCAGCATTAAAAAAAATTCCATTGTCATTTTTAAATTTAACTCAGTTTGAATAACTAACAGACATTTTGTAAAAGAATTAAACCTTTATAATATATAAGGTTTTATATCCCTAGTTTCCACAGGGTTGACATTGTGACATGTGGCCTGGTGTTATCGTGAAGAAGAATTGGCCCCTTACGGTTTACCAATGCTGCACAAAGAAGTTGCAGTTTCCCATGCATTTTGTTAATTTATTGGCAATATTTCTCTGCTTTGAAAGTTTCACCATAATTCAGGAAGTTACAGTGAATAACCCCAGCAGTACATCACCAAACAGTCCCCTAACCTTTTTTGGGTGTAGATTTGGTTTCTGGAAGTGTTATGGCAGTTCATCCTTTTCCTACCATTGACCTATACATTGCCCGTTATCGTACAGAATCCATGTCTCATACACATGATGATTCGATTGAGAAATGGATCATTTTGGTGGCAGAACAGAAGAGACGTGTAAAATTAAAAGCATCAATTTCTATAGGCTTCGTTACCTACTTGTCGAGCTTTTTTACTTTACCAATTTGCTCCAGATGGCGAACATCGGTTGAGTGGTCAACACTAAGCTCTTCCATAATTTTATGTGTTGTCTTACATGAATGTTCTTCAGTCAACGTTTTGAGTTAGTCATCATCCACTACGGAAGACCTACCGCGTCCTTTACTGTCTTCAAGATCGAAATTTCAAAGACAAAATCTCTAAAACCATCGCTGCACTGTGCATTCGCTAATGCTTCCCTACCCCCAAACTGTATTGATATTGCACATGGTTTGGCCTGCACTTCACCCAAGTTTAAATTTGTACAAATTAATTTGACGAAAATCTAGTGTGGATATTTAATTTTGCAGGTCCTCACTCTTATAAAATTCAATAAAACTAAAATGTTTTGTATAAAAGTTAACAGTTAAAAGTATTTATTATAATCCATAAATTAGATTTGAGGATTTAGCTTTGTTTACATGACGAGCACCTGCAAAAATAAAACAAATTTTCAAAACCTGCATTAATTTTGCACCAACCCAATATAATATGAAGTTTTTAACTTAAGAGAATTATTCTTTTGTGTTGTAAGTTCATAAATCTAAAAGTTCATTAACAATTGTAGAGAATAAGTTTACAAATATATCAAATTTTGATTTTTAGGAAGTGAGTCGGCGCCTTCAGGTAGGCAGGCTAAAATGCTTCCCCCTGGTCTTGCAAAGCTCGTAAATACATCTCAGAACACGTCGAATGTTAAAGAAGAACCTTTGTTCCAGTTTAACTACGAATATAAACCGTTTAACAGTTCTGCAGACCGGAGGTAAAAAAAAATCAATATTAATATAAATGAACTTAAACTTAAAAAGTAGTAATAATAAAAAAATTGTTTCAGGTTAGAGATAAAATCGAAATCCCTAGACATTGTTTACAATCCAGGGGCAACAAAATGGATAGTTGAATTTTTCACAGGCCCGCATGTCGTGATGGATTCTGGCCTGAGACAGGCTGCCCGACAAGGATATCACGCTGTGAAAAGAAAAACAAAACAACAGCTTCTCAGCAACTGGGATCAAATTGTACATGGACATTCTGTAAGTGTTGTAAAGTTCAATGAAATCAACTAATTAAAATTATATAATAAAATAAATGACAGTGGGAATATTCACAATATACAGGCTTCGACAGACTTCTATAGTCCACCCATTTAATTCGGAAACGATTAACTTTAGCAAAAAATGGTCTTAAACAAACCCCAAGTTAATTTCGACTAAGATTGTGTGGCGGTAACAGATTTAACATAACTTTCTCATCTAGCTGGGAAATGATGGTAAATTTGTTATTTTAAATGAGAATCCCATATTTTTATTGTACAATTCAATTCTAGAGGTTATATGCCACTTCACTGAAAGGAAAATTTTGATAGGATCGATCATTTCTGAGTTGTGCTCGACGGAAGAAGCGTGAGGGGGTTATGCTTTTTGTACCATCAAGATGGCCTTCCCAGTTTATTTTGGAAATGATTAGCATTAGCAAGTTAATTTAGGATAGGAAAGTCTCAGAATTACCTTATATTAATCTAAAACAAAAATTTTTTTTATCATCCTAAAAAAAATTGGGCATAACTCAGAAATGGTTGTTCTTATCAAAATTTTTCTTTCAGTAAAAGTGGCATAAAATAAGCTCTAGAATCCAATTGTACAATAAAAATGTAGGATTCTCATTTAAAATAACAAAGTTGTGTCATTTCCCAGCTAGATGAGAAAGTTGTGTTAAATCTATTACTGCCATGCGATTTCTAGCCAAAATTGTATAATGATTTGTACAAGACTATTTTTTTCTAAAGTTAATCATTAACAAATAAAATGGGTGAATTGTAGTTGGTAAACCTGCATTTTGACAAAAATAAATGCAGTCTCTTGCAAAATTTTAATACTTTTGGAAGTGTGTTCTATGTTATTATATTTTTCAGACCAATAAAAGAGGATGGGACATTGAGTTGGATATCTCAGCCCCGCAGATATTCCTAGTGGAGCATTTCAATGATAAAAATGCCTTGCTCTGCGTCGTCGACTTCGGCAAGTTGCATTTTACCAACCGTCAACTCGAGTCAGTCCCACTTGTACAGAACACGTCTGAGTTGAGCGTTGAAGAAGAAGAAGAGGAAGCATTTCAGACGCCTTGCTCAACTCCACCGGGAAGCGAAGCCAGCTCTGCGGCATCGTCGAGAAACCAGTCTGTGGACATAACCAACTTAAATGAACTTATACTGCATAATAAATTATATGAAAGGTAAACCTGATTGTTGTTAACAGTGGTTTTAGTCTGCAAGGCAGTGAATATACATTAAACTAGCAATGGGTCTGTTTGCACATGTGGGTCTTTTGATGTTTATTAAACATTTTTCGGCTTTGTGCCATCTTCAGTGAGAAACTATCTCGTTTGTGTAGGTCCTTATTTACCGTTGTTGCCTATGCTGTAGTGGGTGTGTGCATTCGTTGATTTATTTTATCGGTTATTTCATTTATTTGTTTGTTTTGTTTGATAGTTTTTTAAATTATTTTATTGTGTTGTTTTCTTTTGAACTGTTTTAGTGGTGTGAAAGTAGTGTGTGGATGTGAGTTTGACTGTGTATTTGTACACTTTCCATCCTTAAATGTTATTTGTAACTTTTCTGTTAGTTAAATATCATTCTTTTTATTCAGTGCTTATAAAAAAAAGCAAAATTTCAAAAGAAAGCAACATTAAAACAAAACAAAAAAAACAAAAAAAAACTAAGAAAAATATAAAATAACCGACATCACCGCCAACCAACAAACACCAGGACCATGACCCTAGCAACCAACACCAGACCCCCACAATGTTTATCTAGATGAACAGTCACCAACAGTCCTCACTGAAGATGGTACAAAGCCAAAACATGTTTTAGGTACATACAAACCCAGTGCAGGATCAACATTGTTATTATTAATCCATATTAATTTAGTAGTCATAATTGACCATACTAATTATTTTAATTAATTATACTTTTTATCTAAGTCTTTGTTAAGATGAAAAAGCTAGCCATGCTTTTTCCTCTCAATCAAGATCTTAGATGATAAGTGTAATTAATTAAGAGTTATTATTTAAAAAAAATTATTGTAGTGTGTTTTGTTCAAAACTTTTGTATTAACAGGCATTTACAATTTAGTTTTCTGAAAATTAATTTGTAATTTTTTAAAATATTGAGTTAATTTTACATTTTAATGGTGATTCCAGGTATTTAATTGAGCTTTCTGAGCTTCAAATTCTTGTCGGTTGTGTAAGGGACAATTGGAAATACGCTCATGTCAGGGGCACCTCTTCCCTTCACATTTTAGACAAATTTAACATATCTTTACAGGTGAGAATTTGTAATGTGCAATTATTTTCGTAGTATTTATTTTTTGAATGTGTAGATGGAAAGGAGAGTCGTTCACACAATAGATCCACAATATCCGAGTTTGACTATAACCGGCAATCTGCCCAAACTCGTGGCACACATCAATGAAGATAAAGTAAAAGCGATCAGAACTCTCATCGATGTAATTACAGGAAAAGGGCTCATTTCTTCTCCTAGGTGAGTTTGTAATGTTTCTTTATTAAAATAAAATTTGTTATATCTGTGAAATTCAAACTTTGGATTTTAGGTCTCAAGACAATAGCCCTGGAGAAGAGATGCCTTTGGGAGGATCACTGGAAGACGAGGGCTATATCGCAGAAGATGATCTTGACATTGGAGCCAAGCTCTTGATGCTTCAGTTCTCAGTGGACCAAATGGCTCTTGAGGTAAACAATCTGTGCATGTACAATTTAAAAATGAAACTCAAGGGGAGTCGGTGGCCACAATGGTTAAGGCATTGATATAGCACGTATCACTGTAAGGAAAAAAATCCAGCCCCTGTATTCGAACCAGACATACTTACAAATGGGCTTCTTTTTTTTTCAAAAACACCAACACCCCAAGGATTCATATTACCACGTTGTTGAAACACTATCAGAAAGACAAAACTTAAACTCAAATTGTTTTCACCCAGGTTCAATCAAGAGGAAGGAGTGTTGCCGAACTTCAAGTCAACGGTGTAAGGGTTTCATTCACAAAGAGGCCTTTTGATACGAGCATTTCACTCAGCGTTCATGGCCTTTTACTTGTAGACGCCCTTCAGACTTTCGGGCCTGATTTTGAACTTTTAGTCGCAAGTCACAAACATGTAGGGTATGTATCTTTATCATTTTTTGCTCGTATGGTCATTAATATACAGGACGAAATAAAATCTGAAATGAAATCTGTTCCTCCATTTATACATATATTTTTATTGGTTGCATTTTTGTGGGGGGGAAACCAAGACACTTAATTTTTACTTTAGGTTCTCGTTAATCAAAAAGGTTTGAACTAACTCTATAGGTTAATGGTATACATTGGAATTTAACTCTTGTCATGTAAACAAAGCTAAATCCTCAAATCTAATTTATGGATTTTAATAAATACTTTTAACTGTTGTCTTTTATACAAAACATTTTTGTTTATATTGAATTTTATAAGAGTGAGGACCTGCAAAATTATATGTGCCCAAACTAGATTTTCATCAAATATATTTGTTAGCGAATGCACAGTGCAGCGATGATTTCAGAGATTTTGTCTTGGCGATTTCAATCTCGAAGACAGGGAAGGTCGCAGTAGGCCTATGTGATCGATTCAAAACATTGATTAAAGAAATTTCACATAAGAAAAAACGGGAAATTGCGGAAAAGCTTAGTATTGACTACTGAATCGTTGTTCACCATCTGGAGCAAATTGGTAAAGTAAAGAAGCTCAACAAGTGGGTACCAAAAAGTCCAAAGAAATCAACTTTAAAATTAGCACGTCTCTTCTCACGCGCCAACAAAATGATCCATTTCACAATCAAATCATTACGTGTGATGAGAAATGGGTTCTGTACGATAACAGGTGTACAGGTCAGTGGTTGAAGGATGAAGCACCAAAACTCTTCCCAAAATTAAATCTCCACTCAAAAAAGATTATGGTGGCTGTTTGGTTGTGTACTGAAACTATCACAGCAGAGAAATATTGACAAGAAATTGACAAAATGCATGGGAAACTGCAACGTCTTTGTCCAGCATTAATAAACCGTAAGGGGCTGATTCTTCTTTACGATAGCGTCAGGCCACATGTTGCAATGCCAACCATGTGGAAACTTAGGGATTTGGGATATGAAACCTTACCACACCCTCCATATTCACCCGACAGAAAACGCCTTCCAAGACATAAACGAGTAGAAATAAAGATTTTTTATGTCAGTTTTCACATTGGCAAAGATGTATAGATTGTGATGGAAAATATTTCAAAGGATTTTCTTTATTTTATAAAAATTAAAAATAGTTTTGATGGCCTTTTTAAAACTTGTATTATTTTTGCACCAGCCCAATACTTCAGATGGCAAAATACATACTCATCAATGTACATTTTTTGAAATGGTTTTTAATGCTGATTTTTTTGATAAATTAGATTAAAAAATAAAAATTTCCTCAAAAACGCCCTTACAATATATATAGGAGAGGGACAGAAATCACCTTTGTGTGTCGGTCTATATGTTGTTTAATAATAAATAAGTATAATACTCCAAAATATTATAATTAAATTAACAGGTTCAACATTTTGTAAATTAACAAATTGTAAAGATACATATTCATATTAGTAAGATTATTATTTAGAAAATACAAATATTTGCCAGTAAATCGATATTTTAAAACTTTATGTTATTAACATTCTTTTTTATTTTTACCTAATTTTTAATATTTGTTTTTAAATTTTGTTGCAGAATGGACAGTGTCAGTGGAAGCCTTCAGGATAGTGAGCCAACATCACCAACGTCGCCAGCCTCCCCTGATCCTGAGGTCATGTACAAAATGAATAAGGGCCTCACATCTCCGGTTGCCATTTCACAAGCTTTAAGCAGCATCACTCATAACAAAGGTGACATAAATAAAAATTGTCTTTTTCTTATCAGATTCCAATGTTAATTATTTTGTAGTCAAGTCGCCTGTTAAAATACCTTCGCCGCCACTGGTCAGAATTCCGCCTCTGCTCCTTCACGACATGCCTGACTCAGAAGCCCTCATCACAGTTGAATTTACTTTCATAAACGCCAATTGCCCTACAAACGAAGCCAAGAGGGAGCATCTCCAAATAGCAAACATACAGTTCAACAATTTAGACATTATCGGTAGATTTTGTGTAATTTGTTTTCTGTTTGTTTATGTTTTTAATTTTTTTTTTGTAAATTTTTCAGCGAATCAAGAGACAATTGTCGAACTTGTTGGATTCGTTCATAGGGTTTTCCCTAAGCAAAAATCAACTTTGAAAATTGCAACTCCTCAACCACAATGTAAGTGTTTATTAATTTGTTCAACTGAGGGCCTTTCCACCAATTTGGTTTAAACTCAGTTCATTGCAGCCTGGTATTTCATTTTTCACCCTCCTTGGCAGCAAAAATCCTCTTCACATAGTACATTTTCTGAACTTGGTTCAAATTATGAACAAGATGCCAGTAAACTCACTTTAAAACATGATTGGTGTAATGAAATCGGTTTTTCTACCAGGTGATTTTACTGATGGAGAAGTCAGTAGAAAAAGCTCGACGGCATCTTTTGCTGTCTCAACTCGGACTGAGCTGACATTTGACTTTCATCGTCTCAACATACTTCTTTTGAGAGCAGTCATAAAAGAAACAGGCGTAATCGGAAGGAAAATTGCTACTGCCACATTAACAGAAGCGAAAATCCATGCTAATGTCGGCAAGTGTTACACGTTTGAGAAACGTTTCTTAATGCGAAACATATTTTAATTTACTTTGCGTCTAGGGTCGTCCCTGGAAGTAACTGGATCTCTTGGAGGTCTTCAGGTGTTGGATTTGACACCTGAAGGTCAGACGCATCAGAGGATTTTAAGTTTAGGCAACGATCCACTTGTGGGGCCTACAAAAAACTCAAACATCCTTGCATTTATCGCCTCAGACTTATACAACATGGCTGGTTATTCTGGACAGCCAGTTCCTACCAATCAGGCTTTTAGCTTTTCTGTGAAAAGGACTTCATTTAATGAAGATAGTGGTATGTATTTTTTTCACATTTTTCTTCTTTTTATTCACCTTCTTTCTATTTATGTATTTGTGTTTTACTTAGAACTAGCTGAAATTAGTATAAGGATGGCTTCGGTTTGGTATGTACTTTCACCTCCTCTTTTGATGGAACTGAAGTCCTGTGCTGTCGAGTTCAAGCAGTACTTGGCCAACCTCTTTGCATCGATTAAATCGGCAGCGACTGAAATGGCCATGGGCATCGTACACTCAAGGTATTTTTTATCGACATCAAATAAGTTACAAGCGGTAAAAAAAATAAATAAATAAATAAACATAATTTTAGGGCCGAAGCACTAGCACAGAGCCTCTCCATGGGAGGAAGGCTTTACGGTTCTTCAGGCGATATCTCGCAAACCCCTCGTAAACGCCGAAGCCTCTCTCACTCTACAGAGCATATGGAAAGCCTCAGAGGTTCTGTTACACCTCATAGTCCGGCTGAAAATACATGCAACACTATTATCAAGTAAATATTTTATAGTTTATAATTATTAATTTAAATATTCTATGAATTTTTAACCAGTTTCATTTCTTCAACCTTTATTTTATCATTTTAGTAGTGAAAATTTATTATTGATAAACATATAAAATGTTAATAGCATTTTATTACTTATTTTTGTATTAGATGGGACATTGTTCTTGCAAGTCCTGTGGTTATTTTACCAAGGAAACCTTCAAGTACACAGTGCGTAGTCGCACATCTTGGAAGTATATCTTTGAAAAATTCCGACATCTCGCCATCTTCAAGCCCCTGGGATTCAAACCCGTACACGATGCAAAAGTATATTGTTAATATCAGCTCGATGTATCTGTACACACTAGACATTAGTCACCGTCTGATGAACAAGTAATGAACACAGCATTACGTTTTTCTCCAAAACTGGAAAGCTTTAAACGGTAAATTTTTTCAGTGCGGATTGCCCGCTTTTAAGAGCCGAAGATTTATACGGGAGCAGCAGTGACGGCACCCCAGTATTGCATAATACAAGCATACAGTTGACTGTGATCCATGAGTTGAGCCACGTGCGAATGAAGCATCAAGACGATATTTTATTTGATTCTCTAACAGACCTTATGCTTATAGATCAGCAAGAAACATTACAGGTATAAAAAACATAAAATAAATCTTTATTAAACCAATATTCTTATCACTATCATAATGCAGATAAAAGGAAATGTAGTCCGAGACATCAAATTCTCCTTGTCTCGTGCCCAATATGAACAGATGCTCGATACGATCGACACATGCTTGCAATCTTTAAAGGAAGACATAGTGGAATCAAGCAATCTGGGACGTAGCGGCCTTGAAAACATATTGGAAGAACCTGAAATCCATACAGGAGTCTCGACGCTAAGCATGGATCCTGCATTAAGAGCCAGAATGCTTGTGGCACACCCAACGAACAGAGTTACCCAACAAGTTCCTTCTCAATCTATATCTCTTTCAGGTAAATTTTTATTATAATGTTGTATTTTGGGAAAACATTTTTACCTTATGCTACACTTTTCATTTTCCTTGTGAAATGACCTCAAAACTCTGAAACATCATCAAGTACTAAATAATAAGGTAGTGTTATGCCCAGAACTCTTCTACTGGTGGTTCTGGTGCAGCAGATGTGCAAAGCTCAGTGAAGTCAGGGTGGGTTCTAGGCTAGTTAACTAGCATCTAACTAACAAAGAAATTCTGGGGCATTAGAGGGATATGAAGTTAGAGGAGTAGGAAGGAAGGAAGGAAGAGGAGCAGGTGATATAAATGGAGAAGAAAAAGTAACAAAAAAAATCATCAATTTCTTGCTAAGTTCTCTATTCTTAAATCACACCTTACTTGTTGGTATCTACAATTTTTGCACAATCCCCAAGTAAATTGTGTTTTTTTTTCTCCAATTTTTATGCAAAGAAGGTTGAGAAGAAAAATAGTATCACAAGCAGGACTCGAACCTCTAAACTTCCCTTGTTGTTTCCTTCTTGTTTTGGCATTTCCCTTGTGAAACTACCAACTGCTAAATAATAATGTAGTGTCTTGCCCAGAAATGGTTCTGGTGCAGTAGTTGCACATAGCACATAGAGACGGGGTTCCAGCTAATTAAGGCCAGGTAATTAACAAAGAAATGCTGGGGAGATATGGGGATACTGAGTTAGACAAGAAGGAAGGAGCTCCTTAATGTAAACAGAAGGGTAGGAAAAAATTAATCAATTTTATACTAAATTATCTATTCTTAAATCATACCCTACCTGCTGGTGTTTACAATTTTTGCATACTCTCCAAGTAAATTAAGTGTTTTTTCTTTTAAATTTTTATGCAAAGAAGGTTGAGAAGAAAAATTAATACTTTCCTCGTTATGTGTTAGAGTTATGCTTTCTGTTACAAAACTTTCTCGGTGAAGGGGAAAATTTAAAAAATAGTTGGCTGAGAGAAGGAATAGACCAAAATCACGATAGTTCAAGAGGTAGAGCACAGGGGGGGTCATGGATTCGAGTCCTGCTTGTAATACTAATTTTTCTTCTCAGCCTTTGCATAAAACTTGAAAAACTAATAAAAACGATAAATAAAAAAAAATAATTTTAATCCCGACTGCATCTCACGATATCTGTAAAGGATGTTACCTTTACTTCAAAATTTCCCGGTTTTGTTGAAAATTGGAAAAGAGTAATAAAAACTGATAACTAATAAAAATAATTTTAATTAAAGGATATTACTCTTACATCAAAATTTTTGTGTTGCTAATCCTATGTTGTAATGCAACTAAATGATACTTAATATTGGTGGTAAAGGGTAAAATTTAAATAATAGTCGGTTGAGAGGAGGAATTGGTGTCTTGTGGACTGAAAAGTCGTGATAGCTCAAGTGATAAGGCATCGTGGTATAATCCTGGGGTTTGTGGGGTTGAGTCCTGCTTACACTAATCTTTGCATAAAAATTGGAAAAAATAATAAAAATAATTTTAATTAAAGGATGTTACCCTTAGATTTCCCTGTTGCTAATCCTATCATAACGATGCTACAATGTTTGTATGTTGGCGGTAAAGGGAAAAATTTGAAAATTTAAATTATAGTAGAGAGGAGGAATGTATGTCTTGTGGACCAAAGTCACGATAATTCAAGAGGCAGAGCATGGGGGGGAATATAAAGTCCCGGGGGTCATGGATCGAGTCCCACTCGTGACTAATTTTTCATCTCAACCTTTCCATAAAAATTTAAAATAATAATAAAAACTGATAACTAATGAAATAATTAAATTAAGGTTCAATGGGGTGCAGGGTAGTTCAAAATACATAGAAAAATCTGTTTTAATTTTCACACTATTGGTCCGGCCAAATCCCCTGGGTACCAATTTACAACATTGATTTTCCTATGCTAAGGCTCCTAGGAAAGCCTAGGAGGAGTAAAATAAAATAAAATAAATAATATTTTACCACTTATATAATTAAAAGTTAAAAACCTGGAGAGCCTAAAATAGATTTTGTTACATAAAACAAAACTAGTCAGGCCTGGTAAATAAAAAATAATCACAATCAGGCCAAGAAATAAAAAGAACAGCTCAGCTTGCTCAGTGTCACGATGTTTCTCATTGGGGTCCTGGTCCTGTCGACTCCTCCAGTGGAGTGGAAAACGGCGTCCAAATCGCCATTCAACCAGTTTTCCTTGCGCACCCTGCTTGAATTCAAATTTCCATTTCTTGTTTATTTTATATACAAGTACATATTATTTGAAATATTCACATTTGTTTCTCTTAGCCTTTTCCCTCCTTCTCCAACATAGGTTCTCTCCCGACAGCCTAATTTCCATCAAAAGCCAAACATCTCTATCCTGCCCTCCAATTAAAAACTTTGCTCCCCGTTTAACAGTAGAATTTTAAAAGATCATTATTTGCAAGGTTTATTTTTACATAAATTAGTCCCTTAGTTTCTCTATGTTTTGGTCTGAATAAATAATATTTTATTTTTAGTTGAATTTGAGCTTCCTCTATTGACGCTTGAGCTGATCGCTGATCTTGGCTCAGGGGAACAGAAGTTTGTCGAGCTTTCTTTTAAAGATTTGATCGTCCAGTTCGAGCGTGCACACACTCTTGAGACCACGATCCAAATCTCTCTCCATTCCGTCATGATGGAGGACCTCCAGAAACCGGAAGATTCGAAGCATCGTCACATCATGGTCTCTTCGAATACGAATTTGTCCGACCCCTTGGCCAACATCCCCGGATTCGTGTCAAAATCCTGCCCGAACCTCGCATCTCCACAAAATTCGATCCTGCCCTGGCATTCTTCGTTGCCCGACCACCTAGAAACCGGCGAAGTACTCGGCGCCGGGGGCAACAGGCATCAACACATTACAAGTATTGAATTATCACAATTTATAATGTAAAATACACTCACATCGATTATTTTCAGTTGCAGAAAATTCTATAGAAAGCCGTTTGAGAAATAGGAACTTGGCCGGGGGTGGGATTGGAATGAGTTGCCCTTACACACCTCCACCATCACCAAAAAAAATATCACCAAGTGTTTACAACGTACATGTAAACATTGTTATGAAACCATCAAGGCATCCTAATCTAAATGTATTGACAACACTAGACTATAAGTTTTTGATTGTTTTTAGAATATCATATTTAATTAATTGTTAATTTTATAGAACTCGCGCTATGTGACTGTAGATTTTAACAGTTTAGATGTAATTGTTAATGTTGAATCGTGGGTGGTTGTGTTGGATTTTTTTGGAATAAGTCACATAGATCAAGATATTCTTAAGGGGGATGAAAATCTACCAGGCATACAAACTCCGACTACAGTGAAATCTTGTAAGTGTCAATAAAATATGAAATAAAAGATAATACTCTAATATTTTCTTGCATATTCAACTAGTTACGGAACAGGCGGCCGGACTGGATTCTGAGCTCGAGATAACTGTAAAGTCGTTCAGTTTAATGTTGAACAAGAACGAGTACGAAGTGGCTAGGGCAGTCATGTCGAATTTCAGCGCTCACCTTGTCACCAAAGCGGGCAGCAATACGACTGAGACTGAAGCGAGCTTTGATTCTTTTGTACTGTACGATCTCACGCCACAGCACAGTTCCATCTATAGGGAGCGTTTTGTAACTGCAGGGCTCCAACTCTCCATGACAAAGTAAACAATTGTATTTTGAATATGTCCAAAATATAAAAATAAATATAATATTGTATTTTAGATTCAATTCGCCTGATTTAAATACGTTGAGAACCCATGATATAAAATTGAAGTTGAACATGACATCATTGGTCTATGTGCATACTCAAAGATACGTTGCAGAGATCCAGGCGTTCTTCAATCTGTTTCCCCGTCTGAAAAGAGAAGTCGGTTATTTCCGAGGGAATGTTGTATGTATACTTTTATTAACTTTTTAGTGTTTTTTTTAAATATATATTCTAGAAGTTAATTATTAAGTGATTTTCTAGTTGGAAAATGATGAAAATACAGTTTCAACAAGGTTGCTTTTGGAAGTGCATGCGCTTTCACCGATCATAATCCTTCCGATGAGCTCGCAGTCGACATCCGTCTTGATAGCCAATCTGGGAAATCTGTCTGTTAAAAACAACCTCTTGATGTCCAACTCTCCTGAAGTCATTCACAAATCATACGATACTGGCAAAGGTAAACATTTATCATTTTTATTGGACTAGTGCAAATACAATGCAGGTTTTGAATAGGCAGTCAAAACTATTTTTAATGTGTAATATTTCGTTACCGTTATGTAATGATTATTTAGATACCATGAGGTGCGGTTTGGTGTAATGTAGGTTTATAAAAATATTTTCTTTATCGTGTCAACGTTTCGATCTTTATAGAAATCTTCTTCAAGGCCTGGAATTTATAAACATTGTTTGAATTATTCATACTGGGTGTCCCAGTTCCTTCTGACGAAACTCAGGGAATCGATTCTACTCTTCGTTTGGAGCAAAAAATGCCCAGGAGATAATTTTCAGAAAGTTCTCTATTTTGAAGATATTAGTCAATTTAGGTTTTTTCAACTTTTCTCTACCTTACCACATAAAAACGCTTACAACTTCCAAAATGTTGAGACTTATTGCGTTACTATTTGGACCTTCCCCGAGGGAGTGGATCTTTCCTAGTTTAGACAAATGAATGAATAATAAACAAAAGAATATTAAAAAAAGAAACAATTCTTATATTGAGAAATTAACAAAATTTGAAATTAAGGTCTAAGTTTGGAATTAACAATTTTTTTAAATTTATTAAAGGAAACTGACTGATTATTATTATCTTCTTTTAAATTAAAAAAACAGAAGCAATTCTTACAAAACTAATTATTATTATTATTAATAAAATGAAATAAACAAGCTGCAAAACCGACTTTGTGAGGGTTAAACAAACAAACAAAAATTACTCTTCGTTGTAAACTAAATGATAAGAAAATCCTTTTTTTTTTTTTTTTTACAAAAAAAAAATTAAAAAAAAAAAAAAAAAAAAAACGTGTCACGATTCTCGCTTGTGTAAGGACTTTGGGCGGCCCTTATAATTGCAGTCCCGATTCTCGCTTGGTGAAGATGGTTGATCCTTGCTGCCTTTTCACCAAAAAAAAAATTCCGTGTCGCCTCTCGTTTAGCTCCAAGCCAACAGGCCTCTTCCCGTGGAAGTCTCCTTCCTCCTCCTTCTAGTCGCTTGTGGAAGGGCTTTGGGCGGCCCGTATAAATTGCACTGTCATAGACTACAACAAATCCAATTACACCATTTGAAAGAATTCTAAATTTGCTGTAAGATACTTCTTTGCAATAATCTGAATGACATAAAATGTTAGCCAATATCAGTTGGAACATGTCAAAATTACAAAATTTAAAATTTTGGTCATGATTGCATGTTCTACTGAGGTTACAAAAAAATACCTACAACTTGTAAAATTTCACAAAAACATCATCTAATATGCTTTACGGTGATATATCCAGGTTTTTAAATAACGTTCTAGTAGAGTTGAAAAATAACAATTGAATGTTCGAAAGCGTGAGCTAAGGTAAATTTGAGGGGGGGCAGCAAATTTAGCGTTCTTTCAAATGGTGTAATTGGATTTGTTGTAGTCCCAACATTTTGGAAGTTGTAAGCGTTTTTATGTGGTAAGGTAGTGAAAAGTTGAAAAAACCTAAATTGACGAATATCTTCAAAGTAGAGAACTTTCCGAAAATTTTCTCCTGGGCATTTTTTCCTCCAAACAAAGAGTAGAATCGATTCCCTGAGTTTCGTCAGAAGGAACTGGGACACCCAGTATAGGCGTTTTCAGCTTAAACACATTCTCTAAATATTTATCCTGCAAGAAGTGATCAAAATGCTTTATTCAGTGGAAATCTGTAGGAGAGATGGCGGGCGAATATGGAAGGTGCGGTAAGGTTTCATATCCCAAGTCCTTAATTTTCCTCTGGGTTGGCATTCTGACTTGTGGACTGGCGTTATCGTGAAGAATCAGCCCCTTACAGTTTACCAATGCTGGACAAAGACATTGCAGTTTCCTGTGCATTTTGTCCATTCCTTGGCAATATTTCTCTGCTCATGCAGATTTGGTTTCGGGAAGTGTTTTGCAAAGCGCTTCATCATTGCTCAACCGCTGACCTGTATGCCTCCTGTTATTGTACAGAATCCATTTCTCATCGCACATGATGATTCGATCGAGAAATGGATCATTTTGGTGGCAAAGTGCCTTTGGGCTTCGGTTAGTTCTTGCGGTACCCACTTGTCGCTTGGCTTCTTTACTTTACCAATTTGCTCCAGAACAATGGTTGAGTGGTCAATACTAAGCTCTTCCTTGAAGTGAATTTTCTTCAATCAATGTTTTTAGTAGGCCTACTGCGACCTTCCATGTCTTCAAAATGGAAATCTCCAAGGTTAAATCTCTGAAACCATCGCTTCACCGTGCATTCGCTATTGTTGTTACGCCCAGTTTGGGCTGCACTTTGCCCAAGTTTAAATTCGTACAAATAAATTTGATGAAGATCTAGTTTGTACATATATAATTTCGCAGGTCCTCACCTTATAAAATTCATCATAATCTAAAATGATTTGTATAAAAAATAACAGTTTAAAGTATTTATTATAATCCATAAATTAGATTTGTTTACATGACAAGCACCCATGAAAATAAAACAAATTTTCAAAACGTGCATTAATTTTGCACCAACCCAATACTTTTTCGCTATCTTTATTTATATATTTTTTGTTTGTTTTAGCTGTTCTTCTTGATGTTATGAAAATTGAATTGGAAAGCATGGATCTGTCAAAAGGTGAAACAATAAGCGAACTGAAGGGTAGTTCAGGGGATGCGATATCTGTCGGAAGTTACCTTGTCGAAAGAAAAGGCTCCTCTCTGCTACGAGAAAAATGCCATCTTAGCCTTCAAGTTGACAGAAACTTGATGAGCTTAATTCACTCAGGTTACTTAAATTCATTGTTTAAAATAAATATCAAATCATTGTAAAAAAATTTGCTTTAGTACCTGATATGAGCATCCATGGAACTCTTTCAACTCTAGCGGCCAATCTTACCTTAGAAGAGTATAAATTGATATCTGGTCTGCTCTCGTTCAACATCGGCGAGTGCCTTGATGACCTGCAATTGCCCAAACACTATTCAGAAATCGTAAAAAACGAAGATAACGTAAGTAATTGAAAATTTGCAAAAATCGTCATCCTAATAAATTTGTTTTTAAAGATTGACGTCTGGGTAAACACGTACATAAAGTTTGACCTTCTGGACGTCAGCGTCTGCCTTTTGACTCCGTACTGCAACTTAGCCTGCATCAACTTTATAAAATCGAGTCTTACTGTGGATAACTACAGCAACCGTACACAAGACATAGACCTGGTATCACAAGAGATTCTTATCACCGACATCCGCTATCAGGATCAGCCGGCAAACAAAAGATCGAACGTGTTCACAAATATCCTCCAACCCATTCAAATAGACGATTCCGGATCTGTCCAAGCACAAATCCATCACAGGTAAATTGCATTAATTAAGTTATTAACTTCTATTTCACTTTTATTAAGTTGTATCTGATTAAAGAAAATCAAGAAGGCTTTTAAGAAAAGAAAAAGAAAATCGAAAGAAAATGAATATAGAAAAAGGTCTTAGATTTAGTATCAAGAAATTGCAAAAGTATGTAATTCATTGTGTTATATTTTCTTTTTAAACTCTTTGACAAATTTTTCCCCCAAAGCCTCACTTTCTTCAAAGGTCAAATTGAATTTTAATTCCAACAGGAAAAACTTGGACTCTTCAAAATTTACGATCCTCTTGAACAACATGAGGCTCATGGCGATTTTGGACTGGTGGGAGTCGGTGCAAGACTTCATCATGACAAAGCCGGATTATGTTCCGGCGCCTAGTGTCGTACATTCCATCAGCAGAGAGCAGCCTCTGTATGTACAAGAGGCGCCGGATATACCGTTCGAGCTGAAACTCAACATCACTGATTCTGAAATTGTCGTTGTACAAGACACCTCACAATGGGACACAAACGCTGTGATATTAAAGGTATAACTTCTGAGGATTAGTTATAATTCTGAATATTTTTATGAAACTAAAAAATATCTTTTAAGATATGGCCTATTAAAAAGTTAAGTGGGTCATAAATTTTTTCATCCAAAAGATTTTTTTTACTTTTTAGAGCACAACTGTGATTACATACAGACCTTTGAATATAGCAAAACCAGTTTCCTTTAATTTAAATCACTGTGAAATGTTTTCCTGCATCCTCGGCATGGAAGATGAAACGGCATTATCGATAATAGATCCAGTTACTATCAATATGGAGATAATAAAACGAGAAGATCTTCAGGGGAACATAAGCAAAGTTCTCAGAGTAGGTTATAACTCATAAATTATAAATAAACGCCAAAAATGCCCAAACAAATATTTTCAGATGCACATGCAACTCCTGAGCTTGAGACTGTCTTACCACGATGTCTGCATGTTTATGCAAATGCTCGAATCCCTTCCTAGGCAAACACAACAGGCGAGGAAAGAAGCGGCAGAAACATTCCCAGTTAATTTTAAAAGTACGTAGTAAAATTTTTTAATCATGATTTTTTTTATTGAATATATATATATATTTTTTTTAGATCAAATAGAAAAATTGAAAGGCCTGGGTTTCAAGACAGACGACTGCTGTGAAGCTTTAGACAAGTGTAACGGCCAGCTCGACGACGCAGCTCTTTGGTTAACCCAACATGCAACGCCGATTGTAATTTCCAGCAGCCTTGGAACAAGCCCTATCCATGAAACAGGAGAATCGCCGTTCTCATTTACAGATGTCGAAGTAGAAACAGACAGCATTAGCTTATGTGTCATCGACGACTGTCGTGATGCAGACGTACCCCTTGTCGAGTTCGTCCTGAACAAAATCGAAATGAAACTAAACCTCGAGAAAAATTCAGGGTTGACAAAAACGGGACTTTCTGTTCACTATTACAACAGGTTGCTTTCTGGTTGGGAGCCGTTCATCGAGCCCTGGAGGTAAATTATTCACAGCTTGACTTTATTAAAGTTTATTAAAATAAAAACATTTCAGTTGCAATATTTGCTGGGAACATAAACATAATGATGATACTTCAAATAAAAGGTTGGAAGTAACAATTGCATCTAAGGACAATCTCGACTTAAATATAACAAGCTCATTAGTCGAATTGTACAAGAGTGTCAAGGAAATTTGGACGCAAGACTATTATAACCCTAAAGACAGGTTAGTCATTTTATAATAATTTTTTTTTGGAGTTTGTATAATATAGAATTTGTCTTTTAATGCTAGTGCACAGTTAAAAGGTGACATTTTTGTTAACATTTTAATGATTTTCATTTGTAATATTTCAGTTACTTATGTAACAAATTTTTAATAATTGAAGAAAATATTTTACATTACCAGCATATTTTTCTTTGTTTTATTTGAATAAAGTCAAACCCCAAAACACAAGCCATGTTTATGGCGCCTTTAAGGAACACATATTGCAAAATTTCAATATCAGTGATACTCCTCTGTGTGGGTTAAAATAACTTGACAATGAACAATGAAAGGTTGGTTGATTTAAGCATTGCAAAGACCGAACTCCGGCCCAGAGGACCACTTTATGTTGGAGAGGGGGGTTCTTGACTTTCTCACACGGCCACCCCTCCATTTCAACAATACCAGTCACTGTCACTTATTACGACTTGACACAAGGAACAGGAACTCAAAATAACGAAAATGAAAGGAGAAAATAATGTAATAACAATATGTGCTCTTCTCACACTTAAGACACTATGATGAAGGCCTTACAAAATAAACAAGTCCTTGTGCAAATTATTACAAAATAAATTAATTGATTAAATAAATTTCTTCACTTTGTTAGTTCTTGAAAGAATAGTTTTTGTTATATTAGTTTAATTTTACACCTCCCCAAAAAAGGGAGTCGTCCAGCACACCACACTAAAACAAACCCGGTGAACTCCCAGCTGGCATTCATCCAATCCGCTTCCTCGGACAGATGGATGTGTGTTGAGATTATTAGGCGATTGGTAACAGCAAAAATCTCCAATAAAACAGCAGGGCGATTTTCTCTTTTCCACAGCTTGCCACGAAGTGGTCCTGTTTCGATAACGCTCTCCGGTCTATGGTGGGGGGCTGGCCTTATCGTCATACGCTGGAGAAAAAGAAGGAAGGGAGGAAGATATAAAGAAAATATAGATGATACAAATTTAAATATTAAGAAAACCTTTGAATTTAATAAAGAAAAGTTCCTTGGAAGAAACAAAGAAAAGAAAAAAGGAAACTGAATGGTGGAACTCTCCCTGTACAATAAATTTATAAAAAAATTAATTCTTATTCTATAACATGCAAACAAACTATATATACCTGCAGGTTGAATTCAAATTAAAAACAATGTTTAATTTTATAAAGTAAGTCAAAAATATTCGCAACTGTGCTTTCTGAAATCAAACAAGGTTTAAATAATAGAACAAATGATTGTACCTGGATACCATGAACTTTATGTATATGCGAAATGTTTTGCCGGATTCATGACCCAGAATGGAACGACTCACTGCGACATTCTAGAAGATTGTACAGTCCCCGACAACCGTCTCCAACAGGAAATGAAAGGGCAGCACGATGAACAAATGATGGTGATTAGATCCAATAATCAGCAACCATGATCTCACTGGCGTCAAAATGGAATTCAAAAACTGCAAATGGCCATTAATAAAAAGATCAAGACATAATTGACTAGTGTGCCCTATACTTATTCATTAAAATGTGTTTAATTGCACACACAAAAACCAAAAGAACATAGTTGATGCCCTATACTTAAAACAATCGATGAAGACTTATTTGTGGTAAATTTGGTGGCCTCAACAGTTTAGGCGTAGACACTGTTCATCACTGTAAGGTAAAGGTCCTGGGTTCGAATCAAGAGGCCCTGCATTCGAACCTGACTTAGAAGTGGGCTTTTTTTTTTCAAAATACCGGCACCCCGAGGGTATATATAAAAATATATATTTGTGGTAAAGTTCAACACTGCAATTTTTTAATATTTAGTGACCATTAATTAATGACTATTTAGAGTTCATGAGACACTAGACCGCATCTCACAATCTCTAAATAGACACAGCAATTTTTTTCACCACTTTTCATATTTCCACAATATTTTTATTTTACTTTGTATACTACCAACTCCACGGTTCATATCTTCTCTATTGATAGATTGAAAAATTCCAAGTTCTCTGTGGTTGAAAACCTTTATTAAATTTAGTAAATTACATGGACGTTTCGGGCTCTTGGCCCATCAGATTGGGAATTATACCATGAGATTTCTCTGTTTAGTTTCTGATGATGGTACAGGAGTCCGAACGTACATGTAATTTAATAAATTGAATAAAGGTTTTCAACCACGGAGGACTTGGAATTTTTCAACCTATCAATAGAGAAAATATTTTTATTATTATCAAGTTAAGTAATTCTTGTCATTCAGAGAACCGTTGTTCAACTACCTGTTGGGTGTTGAGAAATGCCGGGTCATTACAATACTTTGTCCAAATTAATTTCAAATAAAATTTTAAGGGCTTTACCTGTATTCATATTAGGACCGCTATTGTGGCAAATACAAGTTGGAGGCCCTAATCACTCCTCTTCAGTCTCCATCTCTCTCTCTCTCTTTTTTTTTTTAAATTTTTTTTTAAAATCTAATTGGAAAAATTAAATAAGAAGTGACTTTATTTTAGTCAACTGAAATCTGATGATGGAAGTAAAGGCATCATGAGTCCTCCTGGCTATAGACGGAGATCTCCTTTCATTCCTTTCGCACTGAAAAACGACACAGGATCAAGATTATTTTTCACAACAATCACAACAACTGAAAACAAGTGAGTTCAGCTGTAATACATTATTAAAAATAAAATGTAAACTATTTCACTTTCTTCTATAATATTTTATAAATTTGTATTAAACAATTCAAATTTGTAGATGTTCTTTGGAGTTTCTTGGTTGGTAAGTTGGGCTTGCAGGGTTAAATGCTCGGTATCGTAAATTTAACGTTTTGGTCAAATTTATGACAAAAGCGTAAATGAGCTTGTAAATTACTAATTCAAACTGGAACATTTAGATCGTTTTTCATTCTAATAAACATTATCGAAAATATCCACTCATACATTTTTTTAAATTTTGTGTGTATATACTAATAGTTGAGAACAATACTGGCTTTTATTATTTTGTCAATCTTTGTGTTTTGATTTTTTAATGACATTTTGTATATTTTTTGTTTAAAAAAAATTAATTAAAAATCATTTATGAAACTACTCTTATATTAAGCAGTGGCCAAAGCAGGAAAAAATTAAATGAGAAAGATTGTAACTGGTTTATTTTTCAGCATGGAAAAACAGAAAACCCTTCCTGATCCAAACGTCGATTGGATCACTGTTGATCAACAAGGAATCGTTCCATTTACATTCCACGAGAGGGGTGAGTGTTAAGAAAATTTCCAGGGCTTGCATGATTCTAACCTTTGCTTTTTTTTTCCAGGCAAGGTGCGTCACAGAGACACACACAAACTATTGTGCCACCAAATCTTGGTAAGGGTCGAGGGTTGGCAGCCGATCGATCCAGTCACGGTTGATAGGGTCGGCATTTATTTTCGACAAGCCTATCCAGATCTTCAAGCTGTAAGTGCGCCAATTGAAAATACCGGACTTCTTGGCTAAACTACTAACTATAAAACTACTATTTAAGTTTATTATCTGTTATTAAAATTATAGATGTCATGATGTGATGATAGATTACATTCTGCCTAAATTGGCACAGATTTCAGCCCTAGAACCTGACAATTTTAACTAAAAATTTTCTCTTCAACAAAATTTTAAATGTTTTTCTACAAATTTTCAAATATTCCCAGGTTTTGGACATGCCTCAGGCCAGAGTCGTTCTTGAAGTAACTCTAGAAGGTAGTGCACGCAAACTTGTAACTGTGAGATCAGCGCTTCAGATTTCCAATCAGCTTCGAGACGTTGTAGAAATACAGTTGAACAATAAACAACTTAAACGAGGATGTATGTGGTTTAAAAGTTTCTATTTTATTTATACACGCCAATGTTTAATATTTGAATCTTAATTAATATAGCAGCCCCACTTCATCTCAAAATACCATCTGGTGCAATGTTTTCTGTGCCACTGAGCCATGCCATGGCACTCATGAGTGCGAGGCCACTTAATGAATCATCGCAGGCTAAAAATATAAGGTTTTCGAACAAGCCCATCACCTGGCAGGAAGTTGACAAGCCATGCCAAGCTGTATTCGAAGCGAGACAGTGTTTAATGAATAACGGACAATATTACAGGTACGAATATAATTTTTAAAGTAAAAAAAAAGAAAATCATGGTGCAATAAGACTTTGTAATCCTGTATGAGTAAATTTATAGATTTTGTGCAGCAATTGTTCGGGAAAATTACCCCATTGAGAAATATCTTCCATTGGCACCACCTTTAAATATAGCTTTGATTCAACCAGCTCATACAATAACGTTACTTCCGCCTTTGACAATTGTAAACTTATTGCCTTATGAGCTTTTTTACTCTGTCAAAGATGCCCCTAATGACAATAGAGTTGTAAAGCCGGGGATGCAGGATACGACTTACACGGTACTGGACAAGTTTTCTCTTTTTTTTTTTTTAAATTGAATCTTATATTTTTATTATAATTCAATTATAGGTCGACTTGGTAAATTATTTTGAACTTACGTTCAATCTTGAAAACTTCACAAAACCCGGTGTCTTGCAGATAAATGGCTCCAGCGGCAATTTCATGACTAGAGTGAAGCTTTACGACCAGGAGAAGCGAAGGCTCCATTTGAATGCAAACGTCATTTCTCAGCCTGGGGCCTGTGTCAAAGTATGTAAATAAAATAAAAGATTTTTAAAAAATTCCATCTTATGTGTTTTTTGCCAAAGGTGACGATTTACGCACCATTCTGGCTGCTAAATAAAACAGCGATACCGCTGGTTTTCAGGCAGGAAGGTGTTGCGTTGGATACTGCTGGACAATATGAAGAACACGAGGTAAATAACTTTTAAGTCTCGATTATCATGAAATTTCTTTAGTTACATATTATTGGGCTGGTGCAAAAAAAGGCAGTCGAAACAATTTTCAATTTTATAAAATAAAGAAAATTTATTTGAAATATTTTCCATTATAATTTCTACATCTTTGTCAACGTGTTAAGCGCTTTTATTCTACTGACATAAAAGTCTTTATTTTGACTCACAATAAAATCTTGGAAGGCATTTTCAACATCACCGCATTCTCTAATAATTTTATCCCTCCATAAATGATCAAAATTCCTAAAAAAGTGGAACTTTGTTCACAAGAGGTAGGGTGAATATGGAGGGTGCGGTAAGGTATATCTTAAGTCCTAAGTTCATCCTAAGTCCTTAAGTTTCTGCAGGGTTGGCATTGTGACATGTGGCCTGGCACTATCGTAAAGAAGAATCCGCCCCTTATGGTTTACCAACGCAGAACAAAGACGTTTCAGTTTGCTGTGCATTTTGTCCATTTCTTGGCAATATTTCTCTGCTGTGTTAGTTTCACCATTATCTCTGAAACCAACACTACACCGTGCATTCGCTAATGCTTCCCTACCCCTAAACTATATTGATGTTACGCGCAGTTTGAGCCGCACTTTGCTCAATTTTTTTTCCTGGCGGCTATCAACTCTAATGGTTATTTAAGCCCTGCTAAGTTTTGAGTGAAAAGTAGGCCACCAAATGCAGGCACGAGGCTGGCGGCCCGACCACTGCTACCAAGCAGGACGGACCGCGGGGGCTTCCGTACTCGTTTCATTTATTTTTAATATATTTTGAGGCATTATGGAGCCCTTTGTCTGAGATGCAGATAAAAATCATTTACAGTGTCACCTATGGAAAAGTCCATGTGTCTCCCTGCTAGGCAAGCACTGCCAAACCCCCAATGACAAGCCCCCGACCAGCGGATGACTCCCATCCTCTTGGGTTAATACTAATTAATTGGTGAATTTAAAATATTTTTGTTTTTGTTAGGAATTTAAATGAGAAAGACATTGAAGCTGTGTTATAGTTTGGTTTGTTTTTATATTTCTTTGTAAAGTTTTGTGTTTTTCAAGAACTATGATTTTTGAAGTGGAGTCAGCGTTGTCTCAAGGGCAATTTTAATGTCTGTAGGTTGTGTTTGATTGTTATCTTCCTTTACATTTTTGGCACTTGGGGGGGGGGAGGCCACATTAAAATTATTTATCCATAAATTAGATTTCAGGATTTAGCTTTGTTTACATGCGAAAATAAAACACATTTTTAAAACCTTTAATTTTGCACCTACCGAAAATATTATTTATAACTTATTTTTATGCATTTGTCAATCTTAGGTTGCCAGAATGGTCGCACCACTGTTATTCTCATTTTCTGACAATGATTCTAATCCGACAGTGACTGCAAGAGTTGGGTTGAAAGTTCATGATGACGGAACACCTCAGGTATCAGAAAATAAACTATTCCTTTTATCGGCATATGTCATATTAATAAAAATCATAAAAAGTTCTGTCAAGCGTTCACCCTTCAGTCGGGTGTATTTGTCCGCCACCTCAGAATAAGCCTTCGAGACAACCGGCCTGACCTGGTGTACGTTATTGGCATTGAGGTTCGAAAGGGTCGTGGAAGATATAGCATGACGAACATAGTCACTCTATCTGCCCATTATCAGCTGCACAACAAGTCAAGCTATAAACTACAATTTGCTCAGAAATGTTTTGCTTCCACAGTTGTAAGTATTCCCGACAATTTTTTTTTCCAATAAAACCAAAAATTTCTAGCGATTAAAATCAATTGTATGATATAAACAATTTTTTAGAATGACCCAGGAGCCCAGTCGACGTATTTGACAGCAGTTCCAAATTGTTCTCTTCCGTTTCACTGGCCGAGGCTGGACAAAGATCAACTTCTGTGCCTGAGGATGACTGAAGAGCCTCAGTGCATGTGGTCCGGCGGTTTCAAAATAGATGGAAACAACTCATTCCATTTGAACATCAGGTAATTTTTTCTCTTCAGTACCTTCGTACGATCAAATGTGCATTCGATTTTTTTTCCTTTAGGAATCCAAATGGAAGGATGTTCTTTTTACGGATTGAAATTGTTCTCCAGGGAGCGACGTATTTCATCGTAATTACCGATGCAGATACAATGCCTCCTCCGATAAGAATAGACAATATGTCATTAGTCTCTCTCACTTTCCACCAGGTATGTTTATTTGAAATTTTTTAATATTAAATTTTCATTTTAATGTTTCTACTGTATTCTATTGATATTAGGACGGTTTAACGGGGCTTCCGTGCACTGTAAGGGCGCAGAGTTCGATTCCCTATGCCTGGGATGAGCCGACATTGCCACACATTTTGACGCTTTCTGCGCCAGGAGGTGTTTCAGCGAATTATGACATGAACCAGCTTGGCGAAGGAAGTTGCTTGACATATGAAAACTTCATTTACATTGCTTTCACAGGAACTTTTAAAAAGTAAGTATTTTCAAACAAATTATTAAGAATTTGGTTTTCAAAAAAAAATTAGTGCACTGCTTTCTACAATAACTCATTAACAAAGGAATTAGGATATGGATAAGAACATAAGTTCCTTTCCGACCCTCTTGGGTACAACCAGACGCCTCCTTGTTCCATAAAAAATTTCTTCAACGTGTTACCGGTTTCTCCTCGGACCGTTGACAACTCACCCGGTCTCCAGGTTTCTGGGGCTCAGTAGAGATTTTTCCATGGCTATTCCTTTTCTCCCAAATAAATTAATAGTAATAATAATTGGGTGTCACCATTCTATATATGTTTCCCAGATGTGGGGACGTCATGTTTTTCTCATCTGGTAATCGCCCCTTCTAATTTTCAGCCCTTTAAACTTTTTTTTGTTTTTTTGTTCTCACTTTAACAAAATTTATTCTAAGATGAAGACCAGCTTATAGTAAAATAATTTATGAATTTCAGCATGAGGGAGCATATAGATATGCTGGATGTGGAGTGTCAACAGTTGGTTCTTGATGTGCCCGATGTGTCGACTGGTAAAGTCGTCCTGTCGAGGAAAATTCAAGGAGAGAGATCCCAGCTATGGAGAATGACCGCAGACGGTCATCTACAGCATGAAGGTTCTGCTCCACCGAGAGCTCGATCCGATAAAATCATGGTAGATTTTTCAATCGTAAATTTATTCGATGTAATTTACTAATGAAATTTTAATTCCAGGTCCTTGATATTTGCGACCCGGCGCCTCAGCCCAAACATTACGTCGGTCTCAAACTCCAAAGGCCAGATAAAAGGCGGAGCTCAACGCAGAGTTGGAGGTTCACGGAGGATGGAAGGCTGTGCTGTGTACACAACAGCATGTGTGTCCAGGCAAAAGATGGATTCTACGGCCTGCAGAAAGGTGAGCCAGAATGGTTTTCTTTTAACTTTTTATAACACTGACTTTTTTTATGGCTTTGATCTAATTTCATGTTTTAATATTTTTGAAAATGCCATCCTAGCACATTCTCATTTTTTCATTTTTTTTTTCCTTGTAGCAAATTAGATTTCTCTGAATATTTTGTTCTTAAGTTTTCGGTATTAGAAATAGAAAATTTTACATATGCCAAGATTGATATTTTTCAGGGGCAATCAATTCTGGTGTGCCTTGGCAGCTGTGTATGTATTATTTAGATTTTTTCTTGACTTCTTCCAGTCATATTCTATATGCTAATCTGCTTGAACGAAAAACAGAGCTTTTATTCATTTCCAATTTTTCCATTTAACAAAAGAATAACTTTTCAAATACACTAAGCTTATCGGCAGTACTGCCTTTCCTTTTTTTCCTTTCTAAATTAACATTTCTTCTTGTAGTCAATGTTTTAATTTTATTTGTGTGTGCACTCCAGTCGCTCATAATAATTTTGCTTGATTTTGTCTTGTCAGAATGTTTAGATTTTTCTTTAAATATTCTTATATGCAATGCACTATTAATATTTATCTAAGTCCCTTGCAGACGGTTTATTACCATGCCGTATAGTGGAACATGTATTTTATTTTATTAGGTTGTCTGAAAAATAATGCAGGTTTATGGTTATGAAATAAAACTAATTAAATTATATTAAATATTTTTATTAATTAAAATACCATCACTCTCAATACTCCTGACGTGATGGTAGCGTCTCTATACCCTCTGACTAGAATTTTGAATCTTTATTATTAAAAAATACTGGAAACACATTTTCTAACACTTTTGATCAATAAATTTTTTATGCTGTAAAACGGTGTCTGAAAAAACGGTAGTAGGTGAGAAGTCTGGAGAGTAGGGAGGGTGAGGCAGAACCTCATAACCAAGAATAGTTTTCATGTTGTTTAATATTTTCTTTGGTGAATGATCAGCCTTCTCAGTTTAAATATATATATATTTTTTTTTCTTTTCTTTCGAAAAGGTAGATTGGGGATGAGGACAGGACGACAGAAACAACATTTATTTTCTTGTCGAGCTTTCGGCAGAATATATCGCCTTCATCAGGACTCTGTATTAACAAATTAACATAAGTAAATTTTCAAATATACAATTTTTAAAATTTTCCTTAATTACTAACTCGAAAAAAATCATTATACTATACGAACAGGTACATGTGTGGATTGTTAAAATCAAACGTGTGGTTATATTTTTGACTGTTGGGCAAGCGCAGTCCCTATTTACATCTCTAACGTCGTAGGCGTGTTGTTTACATCTATTTTTCAATAATTGTTTAGTTTGACCATAATACACTGCACTACATTCGTTACAACACAATTTATACACAACATTGCTACACAGTTGTGTTGGCACTTTTGATTTCAATTTTGAAAAAATCATATTTCCCAAATTGTTCTTATATTTTAAGGCTATCACAATTTTAGGATTGTTTCAAATTAATTTATGGTTTTCTTTTAATTGTATAATTTGTGATATTTGATACCAAAATGTTAGGGAATTTTTTATAGATTGAAGATTGAGCCAGTTGCCAATACTGTCACATTTAGGAATATTTATTACCTTCGTTTATCGAAGGTGGGTTCTACCGGCTATCCGTTATCCACACATGTACCTGTTCATATAGTATAACGATTTTTTTCGAGTTAATAATTAAGGAAAATTTGAAAATTGTATATTTGAAAATTTACTTATGTTAATTTGTTAATAGAGTCCTGATGAAGGCGATATATTCTGCCAAAAGCTCGACAAGAAAATAAATGTTGTTTCTGTCTTCCTGGCTTCATCCCCAATCTACCTTTTCGAAAGAAAAAAAAAAAAGAAAAAAATATATATATTTCATGTTGTTGACTTGTGGCTGAGTGTTGTCGTGTAACAGGATCGGCCTTTTCTGTTTGGCTAAAGATGGCTTCAATACTGCCAATTTTTTGTGCATTGCTTCAATTTGAGAGCAATACGTTGTTTCGCCAAGATTCAAGAAGCTGTAGTAAATCAGACCGTCGAAGATTCACCAGTGCCTTTTTTTTTATTAGTTGGGATTTTGGAAAATGTGGTGCTCCTTCTGCTTTGTCGAGCCACTTGCTGTTACCTTAAAGAATCCACTTTTCATCACAAGTAACAATTCGATCCAGAAAAGTTCATTTCTGTTTCAGCAAAGAAGTGTTGCATAAACTTCATAATGATGATTTTTTTTTTTTTTTTGCAATTGTTTAATGCATGAGGAACCAAAATTTTGAGCTTTTTCACCTTTCCAATTGTATTAGGGTAGTCAGTGACAGTCGTTTTGCTAACTGAAAAATTTCTGCAAGTTCTTGAACAGTCGTTTTAAAATTTTCTTCTTTTTTAAATTAAAAAGCAGAACATCATCATCTAGGGAAGAAGTCCTTCCATGAATTTTGTCTTCAAGTCTAAAGTTTCCCTTTTGAAATTGTTTAACCCATTTCTGAAAACAGTACTTGCCCCAGACTTTAATAATGTTTCTGTCCATTTAGGCACCATTCCAATCGAGTTTAATTTCGAAAAAACGAAATTATATGAAAATCACACATTGACATCTTAATTATTCCCAAGTAATGAAATGCTACTGAGGTAAAGAAACATTTTTGTTTGGAAGAGGATTAAAAAGTGTTGACATTCATACAAAAGAATAATCCATCGAACATAAACAGTTTATTGGGGTAAAACTGTAAACATACATTATCTTCCAGACAACCCAAAAGTTTTTCATTTTAAAGTGTAAACATATGTATATATTTTATATTTTATTGAATGACTATTTATTAAAATTATAATTTTATTTTTGAATATGTTCAAGTAGTTGTAAATATCATTTACAACATATCACATGTTGGAAGCTTTAAGGCATCATGAATCATTTTTTATGGACAATTTATACTTATTCTTTTTATAATCCAAATCACAAGTTTAATCTATGTTAGATTAGATAAAAACAACAATCATTTTGTTAAAAACGAACCAAATTAGTTGTTGAAAAGCAGGTTCAATGTTTAAAATTTCTCAGAAATGTTAAAATCAGTAGAAAAAAATTTCCATTTTGACTTACCTTAAAACATGAAATATTGTTTAAAAATAAGATAATAGTTTAGGTCAGGGTTATATACTCGTTTTTTTCTTGATAATTTTGACTTCAAATTTTACAATCATCCTAGATTTTCATATAACTATTCTTTCCTCATTCAGTTTCCATCATCGTCATAACAGAATTCAGCAATGCTTCAGACAATACCACTTCCTATGTTTTAGAGAACAGAGAGCTCAGATGTGTTCTTAGTGTGCAGTGCTTTTAACAGGGTTATAAAAATTAAAAAAGTTATCGACTCCTTATTAACTAATCTTCAAATCATTGCGACAAAGTAAGACGATAAGTTCTCAGAGACAAGACCATGCATCTGCCCAAAATCCAGGAGCATTCTTGGAGTTGTACTTATTTATCAGGGCATTTGTTGAACATCACAACCTCTTTCTTTGTTTTACTTTTTATTGCTCATACCAATGCTGCGTTTTCAAGGTTTTGGAGCACGGAGCATACTCTTAAGATGTTGTGAAGTTCAACAAATCCCCTCCCATTACATGACAAATTCAACAACAACCAAAATAAATAGTTTCATCTTTATTTTACTGCTGATCTACCAATACATCCTAATAACCTATCAACAATACTGTAATTTTATCTCCTAACTTCAAATATTCAGGGGCATCTTGAGCTCAATGAAGAATGATATAAAATTTGGAAAATGAAGCTGAACAAAGACAAATGAACCTTATCCACATCCATACATTATGAGCAAACTACTAACTCTACTTAGTAGACTGAAGAACTAATCGGACGACTTTGACAACTACTAACACTTTTTGTACCAAAATCAGATGGTAAAGGACAAACCACAGTAAAAAAACATTATTTCGACCTATTTGGACATACTGTGGGAGTAGCGCTGAGCCTTCTAATATCCATATAATTCAAGCATTCAAGGAAAAGTCCTCAGAAGAATTCTTTATGCACCTTCTATGTCTCTAATCTCGCTATCTACAATGACCTCAATATTCCTTTTGTAATCGAATCTTCAGCCCATCCTACCCAACTGCTCAATCTCTTTCCCATCCTGAGAGCCTACCGCACCCTTTGTACTTAAGTCGATAACAAATTGAGTTCTGACATCATCTGGCTTCTGTCATCTTTGTACAGTGCTGACCGTATTGTTAGCGTTTGTGTCTGGGTTTTTATAGCACAAAGAACAATTTGTAATATGTATATTCATATACAGGATACAAATAAATAGTAAATAAATGAGAAGTCACATTCTTATTTCATTTTGTTTGGACTGACTATTTATATTTGTATGTTGTTGCCCTGGTCAAACTGATACACCATTTTTCTCTCCGTTCATTGCATTCCAGTATTTTTTCCATTTTCATCAATATTCTGCGTATTAGTCTAAAGTGTTTATTTATTTTTAATAAATCATAATGAAATATTAAAGAAAAAAAAATTGTTTAAAAACCAATTCATTGAGCCTAATCAACATAGATCATAAAGGATCATTTACATTTCTTGCCAGCCTATGAATACATTAAGAATGTAATCATGTAAATAGTGTTTTGTGCCTGTATCAAAATTATTGTCAGTCCTCATTGTTCGTTAGTTTTTCAGCTTAAATTTTAAGCTTTGTAGTTCACCCCTTACGATTGTTTAGGGAGCGATGCCGTCCTAGGGCCACCCCAGGCCGTCACGTACCAGACTACGGAGCAAGGACTCCCACTGGAACAAGCAGTGAGCCGGCAGCGGCTCTGGCCCGGCTCGGGTTATCTAGCTGTCCACATTGTAACAGACGGTCCAACCAGGGTTCTGAAGATAGTCGACATCAAAGAGCAAAAGGTTATTATTATTTAAATTTATTTTATTAATATTTAAAACATGTATTACTTAAAATTGACTAAAACGTGTGGTGTTTAGTGACCATTAGTTAATGTTTATTTGGAGACGTGAGATGTGGTCTGGTGTGACGTAGGTTTAGAAAAACATTTTCTTTATCGTTTTGAACTTTATTAAGATCATCTTCAGGACTCAAAGTGTTTTCTGTGTAGATGTGTGCTTCGTTGAGAAGGCCAGATCGAAACGTTGGCATGATAAAGAAAATGTTTTCCTAAACCTAAGTCACACCAGACCGCATCTCACAATCTTCAAATAATCATTAACTAAAACATTAAATTCACTGATTTTGTGGCCCGCTTGACCTATTAATATATTACAATTAATTAAGGTTTTTAGTTGAGATAAAAAAGTCAATGGCACGAGAGGGATTCGAACCCACGATCTTCGGCTTGATACGCTGCTGCTCTACCACTTGAGCTATCATGACCTCGATCCACCTGGACACCAACTTCCCACCTCAACCGCACCTTTTGAATTTTCCCTCCTTTTTGCCTTTTTTATCTCAACTAAAAATGTTAATTAATTGTAATATATTAATTGGTCAAGCGGACCATGAAATTAGTGAATTTAATGATTTAAAATGAAGTATACTTCACTAAAGCTCTCCGTGGCCATTTCATTTGTCGTCGAGAATCCAATCTGATTACACGACATTTGAAAAATAGCAAAAAGGAGGGAAAATTCAAAAGGTGTGGTTGAAATGGGAAGTTGGTGTCCGGGTGGATCGAGGACACGATAGCTCAAGTGGTAGAGCAGCGGCGTATCAAGCCGAAGATCGTGGGTTCGAATCCCACTCGTGCCATTGACTTTTTTATCTCAACTAAAAACCTTAATTAATTGTAATTAACTAAAACATGATTAAGTACATTTTGACATTCCTAAATTCATAAATGCACCGTTATGCAGATGACTTCCAAATTTACCTTTCCTTCCCATAGTTCTTGACTTGACAAGAGGCAATTGCAAGAGTTCAGGAGGACTTAATCTCAATTAGCTCCTGGACCACTGAAAATGGACTTAACGTGATTGTAGAAAAGTTTTTGGCTTATTTAAATCTATGAAATATTGCTCTCATCGCATTAATGCATGATGTCTAAATTTCACTTTCCTTTTGGCCCCTTGAAGCTGAACTTGTAAGAATTCAAGAAGACTTAAACTCAATTAGCTTCTGGGCCGCTGAAAATTTGAGTCTGGTTAATTCATGAATATTTGTGAAGCGTACAAGAAAACAGACAATAAGCTGAGTAAGGCGAACACTGAATATTGTTGCCCGTCCTTACTAGTCAGGATTCGGCGTACCTTTGCTCAGCATTTTGCGAATCCTGTCTGGAGTCACCTTATCCTTAACAGGCTTGATTCTTTGTAAATTCATTGCATTAAGCCTAAGTTTAAAAGTTTGTTTTTCCTTTGCAAAGTATGATTTTAATGATCATTTTTCAGAAATCTAGGATCAAAGCTCAAAAATTATCACGAAAATGCGATTGGGTTGACATTCTAGGTGAATCCTCTAGTAGTGAGAAGGAAGAGAGTAAATCCAAAGAACTTCATGTTGGTTTTTATTTTTTCATTTATTTTCAGATATAAACAGATAAACAATTATTTAAAAAATAAAATTTTGTAGTTAATTATCGACCTACCATCGCTTGGAATAAGCCTCATATCTAGGAATCCTCCTGAGGAGCTTATATTTGCAAGGCTGAGCTCGATAAAGATCAATGTAGTTCTTATGCCCAACTCGGAATATTTTGACGCCAGTGTACAAGACATTCAAGTGGACAATCAAGTGTTCGAGGCTCAGTGCCCGGTTGTTCTGTACGTCACTCCGATCTCAAGAACTTCAGACACGAATGAGGCTGCAAGACCAGCGTTCAGCATATCAGCCGAGAGGACGCCAACAAAAAAATCCTACAATGCGGATATATTCAAGGTATTTTTTCAACTCATTTGTACTTTTATTGAATATTTAAATCATTTTATTGCAAATTGTTTCTGTTTTATTTTCCAGCATTTAATTGCTAATGTGAAAAACTGCTCGTTAATAATAGACGAGAGGCTGCTTTTAAAACTTGTATTGTTTACCGGCTGGTATTCTGAGGACGAGACTGAAACAACGGACGAAAGCGATTTCGAGACGCGAAGGATACTAGCTGAAGCGGCATCCGTTCATGCCAAACGGTATTATTTTGGCCTTTTGAAAATCGCCCTAACGCAAGTACGTCTGAGCGTGATCACAAGCAACAAACTGAGCGATAGACTGACGGCGATTAAGAAAAAACTCGGTTTGACTCTGATCCGATTTGAGGACGCTGCTGTAGAGCTTGAACCTTTCAACAGGAAACATTGCTTCGAGAATCCACAATTCCTTATCAATTCAATACTCAAACATTACAAGGATGTACGATCTGTCTTATTATTTCATAATTTTACTTTTTTTGACTGAATTTTTAATTTTTAGGAATTAAAATGGCAGGCGGCTACTATTCTAGTGTCAGTGGACTTTTTGGGCAACCCGCTCGGCTTTATCAACGACGTTTCTGAAGGTGTGTCTGGCTTCCTGTCCGAAGGAAACGTCACAAATCTTTTTAAAAACATTGCACACGGGTTTTCAAACTCAGCTGCCAAGGTTACTGGTAAGTTTCTCTATCGATCTAATCTTCCACCAAAGAAATATTTTTGTTTAAACGACGTCGTTTTAAAGAATCACTCGGCGATGGAATTGGCCGTGTGGTCTTTGACGATACTCACGAAGAGAGGCGACAAAAGATCAGAGATGTCCAGACCGGCTCGAGTAGCGACCACCTCATGGCTGGTCTCAAAGGATTTGGTTTCGGTCTCCTCGGCGGTGTCACAAGCGTCTTTAGACAGACTTACGACGGCTACAACAATGACGGGTTGCAGGTAAAAAAAAATCATTTAGTTTATCGAACAATTTTGCGTTTTAAAGTTAACCCATGTAAAAATATATCCTAAAAATTCCTGTCTTAACATGTTAACACAGAGGCGACTCGGGCGTTTTTGACCTGTACCGGACTCTTATTTCCTCATTTGACCCTTTCGCCAATTAACATATCGCCATACAGCTTTCTCTACCTACTTTATTTGGATAGATATTTGCAGTTTTTTTTTTTTTTGCTTTTCTCAAAAATCTATTTCTTTATAAGGATTTTTACGTTCTTTATAACGGGAGTTTTCTTTATAAGTATTGTTACGATATGGCAACTTCTGCCATGCTCAATGGAGAAGGGAATCCCCAGGAAATCAATAATATATTCGGGCGAGACACTATTTGATCCGGGGAAAATAGTGAATCCCAAAAAAAAAAAAAACGAGAATCAATGATAATAAAAACAAACATAAATAATTAATGAATAAACAAAATAAATATCCTGCGCTTGAACCATGAACTCCTAGCTCAAAATCAAAGGCAGCTCCCCTAAGCTACGAGTCTCCTTGATCAGACCCGACTGTTCACTTTGTTCTTATGTACAATTTGAAATATTTAAGCTCCTATTCTTATTCGACTATCCTGAAGAGATAGATCAAAATTGTTTGACTCTTGAGAAACTAGACAAAAAAATAAAAGTTCATTGTCGTCTCAGGGTTTTTTTTTAAACACCCCAATAAAAAAAATGCGGGGTCAGAATATTAAACTTGCCCCCTACAAATTACTTCATAACTTAACATTCCTCAATAAAAATCATGATTTATGTATTTTTTATTCTTAAGGGAACAATTTCCGGTCTGGCGAAAGGAATTGTAGGGACGGTCACAAAGCCAGTTGTCGGCGTTTTGGATCTGGCGACAGAAACGGCAAGTGCCGTTAGGGATTCAAGCAAAAGGTAGAACTTAACAATTTTACTATTTTTCTACTATTATTGTACATACGCAGGTTTTAAATAGTTTAAAATTATATTTCTTGTAAATTGGCATGTTGTACCCTATGATCAAATTGATTGATGGATAGAAATAATTTTTTTTAATACCATTTTAAATTGTCTTTTCACAAATTAAAATTTACATTAGTTCCAGCAAACAAATCCCATCAAGACGGAGGCTTCCGAGGTGTGTGACGAGCCCATCAGGCTTTCTTCCTCCTTACAACAAAAAGCAAAGCCAAGGACAAGAGTTCCTCTACAAGATCAACAATCACAATTATTCAGAGCTGTACGATGCTTATTAAAACGATAAATCAGCGGTCTTTATTATTAATTGTTTGTTTAGGTTTATGGCTTATGAAGTTTTAAGGAGTATCAACGAAGACCTGAGAATAGTAATTTCAAGCGAGAGCCTCCGTGTGTTCAGTTGTAATTCGATATCTAACGGCTTGGTTTGCGTATTTGAAAAACAGTTAGAGTAAGTGGACAAATTTGAACTTTTAAACCTCATTTCATGTTATATTCTTTGAGTTTTTTTTTCCTCTCCAGGGGACTTTACTACTGCAAACCACTCAAAGTGGCCAAGACGCCGAAAGAAGAGGTGCATTATATAGAACTGACTATGAAAGTAGACAATGCGAGTTCAATCATGAGGAGCGACGGCGAAAAGAACGCAAGAGTCAGGTGTGACTCCGAGAGCATCGCTTCTTGGGTAAGGTTTTTTTTATTGGCCATAGACAAATACGCAAATTCTAATTTTTTTGTTTTTAGGTTTCTCAACAGCTCAATTTTGCCAAAGGTAGACACTTAGAGCGTCAGCAGACCCTGATGGGTCGTAGTGATGTACTGGAAGAGTGGACGACACCAGAAAAACAGAACGTACTAATTTTGTACTAGCATGTGATATCCCCCGAGTTTAAAAAAAAATGGACAAAATTTGTACATAATTTTTTGGCTAATTTTTTATGGCAAGAGTATAATTTAGTTTCAAATCAAAAAAAAAAAAAAAAACCTTGCCTTTTAAGTTTTTCTTTTCTTTGGGTCACTTTAGACCGATGTTTACCGTTTTTGTACTTTTAATTAAATTAAATACATATTTTTATAACAAAAAAAATTCAGGTTAGAACCTCTTGTATATATTGTGATAAAGAAATAATTGTCTAAAATCTATCTAAATGTCTTGTTTTATTTTTATTTTTGTGTTCTAAGTTAGTCATTACGTTTATAAAATGTTTTCTTATTTTGAGCTTTAAATTAAATTGATTTATTATGTTTTATTCATGTGCAATTATATATTGCTTGTTAACTCATCAAAACAGTAATAGTAAAAACAAGACATTTATATAATGTTTTTTAGTTAACTATGTATAATAATTGTTTTTAGTCTGATGGCCAAAGGAAACGTTTTCACTTTTTTAATGAGTCCTAATGCTCACTAGTCTTGATATTGTGTTTATACAAAATAAAAATTTAAATTGATATATATATTTATATTTTGATTAGGTTGTAAAATATTTAGTCTTATGTTAATACAAATAAATAACTTTTTTATTGATTTTTTTTTTCTGATATTGTGTTGGGTTGTAGAATAAGTCCTTGTCATTATCGGTTACACAGTACGAAAGGAGGTTAGTTAAGGTGCTGCGACATGCGACTCAGCAGGGTATTTTCTGTTGAAAACAAGTTCAATTACATTCAAAAAATTCAGATTTTTTAAAAAACTTTTTATGTTCATCTCGTAAACTTTGAGGTTTATGAGCTTAATTTTCTGACATTCGGTAGGGTATTTTCTGTTGAAAACAAATACTTAGAAAAAAATTCAGATTGTTTTTACTTATTGTGGTCATCTTGTGAAGAATAAGATTTATGAGCTTAATTTTCCACCAATTGGCAGGGTATTTTCCATTGAAAACAAGTACAAATATATTGAAAAAAATTTATATTTTTTAAAAACTTTTTTGTCCATCTCGTAAACTTTGAAGTTTATGAGCTTAATTTTCTGCCAAACGGTAGGGTATTTTCCATTGAAAACAATTACAAATACATGGAAAAAGAATTAAGATTTTTTTTTTTTTTTTTTGTTCATCTTGTAAATTATGACCTTTACAAACTTAATTTTCCATTGAAAACAAATACATAGAAAAAAAAATCAGATTTTTTTAACTTATTGTGTTCATCTCGTAAACTTTGTGAATTATGAGCTTAATTTTCCACTATCAGCAGGTTATTTTCCGTTGAAAACAATTAGAAAAAATTCAGATTGTTTTACTTATTGTGTCCATCTCGTAAACAATAAGATTTACGAGATTAATTTTCCCTTAATCGGCAAGGTATTTTCCAATGAAAAGAAATATACATTTAAAAAAAAATTTCAGATTGTTTTTACTTTTTATGTTCATCTCGTAAACTTTGAGGTTTACGAGCTTAATTTTCTGCCAATCGGTAGGGTATTTAACATTAAAAACACGTACAAATACATGGACAAAGAATTCAGTTTTTTTTTTTTACTTTTTGTGTTCATCTTGTAAACTATGACATTTACAGCTTAATTTTCCAATGAAAACAAATATACATAGAAAAAATTTCAGATTGTTTTTACTTTTTATGTTCATCTCGTAAACTTTGAGGTTTACGAGCTTAATTTTCCGCCAGTCGGGAGGGTGTTTAACATTGAAAACACGTACAAATACGTAGACAAAGAATTCAGATTTTTTTTTACTTTTTGGGTACATCTTGTAAACTATGACATTTACGAGCTTAATTTTCCAAAGAAAACAAATATACATAGAAAAAAATTTCAGATTGTTTTTACTTCATCTCGTAAACAATAAGATTTACAAGCTGAATTTTTCCCAATTGGCAGAATATTTTCCATTGAAATCAAGTATAAATACATAGAAAAAAATTTTTTTTTAAAACTTTTTGCGTTCATCTTGTAATAAACTATGCGACTTAATTTTGCACCAATCAGCAAGGTATTTTCCATTGAAAACAAGTACAAATACATAGAAAAAAATTTTTGTTTACTTTTTGCGTTCATCTTGTAATAAACTATGCGACTTAATTTTCCACCAATCCATTGAAAACAAGACTGCTATTTTCTTTTAATGATGTTTTTATGCATCAGCAGCCTGGATTGCAGTGGTTAAATCCAGAGGTTGGTTCGCCTTTTCGTTACCCTCCAGACCTATGGATCTAAGTACCATGACAACAATCACTGTTTTGCCACGACGCTCCAATCTTGTATCGCCCCAGGTGCGTACCAAATCAACCTTAAACACTCTAAAGTTTCAAGTACGTCTTTTACTATATTTTGGTCGCAATTTCTGGCAACTAGTGCTGGGATATCTGATACAAAAGCTCGGGGGGGAAAATATATCTTAAGTTTCATGTGAACAACACTAAATCTAGTAAAATAAGAGTACGAAATAGAAAAAGGTGTTAAGTATTATGCAATAGAGAACAAATAAGCATAACAAACTTCTTGATAATATATTTAACATTCCTGCATGAACATTTATTACAAGAATTTAATTTCTTTGCATTTTTTATGTTATCGATCGTAATTATTAAAATCATTTTGGTAACATTTCCAACAGGTACATCGCTCTTTGAAATGTTCTGAATATTTTAGGCTTGTTTACATGCTCAATGTTAAGAATTGATGCAACTTCAAATTTACTGTGTGTGAATACTGCTTTTAAATAGTGGAAAAGCATTTAATATGTACAATGTAGGTGGATACTCATGTTTTATTAATAATGCTAGCCATTTTTTTTTTTTTTTTTTTTTTAATTACAAAGGAAGCACCATCTTTATGTATGGGATAAATAAATATTTTTCAAATGTAAATCAAGCCATGAAAACGTATTATAAATCAGAGCGTTCTTTTTACTAAAGAAAACGTAAAATGATTTTATTTCAATATAACTGAAATGTAACCCACGATGATAGTTTATTATTTAAAAATTATTAACGTGCTTTATAAAAAGAAAAAAAAACCCTAGGGCTGTTATATACAAATTTGGCAGAAATATCACTTAGCAAACAGAAAGTTTCAAGCGTCGTGTAAAGCTGCAAATTTATTCCCTGTTGTAAAATCGTCGCTTTCTTCTTCTTCGTCGTCGCCGTCATCGTCCTTCTCTTCTTCAATCCTGCTCTTGGACGTGCCGGCGAAGATCCTCCTGGCCCGGAAATCTTTCTCGCCGTCTTCGGACTCTTCGTCTTCGGTAGAAAGGTCAGAGTTTTCCTCGATGTTCTGTTCTCTGGCCATGATCCAATCGACCGACTCCACCTCAGGATGGCTTTCCCATTTTTCTTTAAGAAAACAAATATTAAAAAAAAAATCTGATTGTCGAAATAATTAAATTTACATAAAAGAATGCGAGGAAATACCTTTCTCAGCGACATAACCTGGAGGAAGAAGGCAAAGGATAATTCTTCCATCGAGGGTTATACGTAGGATGTTGTTCGCTGCGCGATACGTATCCAAACGTGCTGTCCTTGCAGTATAAAATTTTCTTTTCAGGGCCCAACCTTGCCACAAAAGAAAAAATATTACATTTATCCCTTGTATAAATTAAATATCAGCAAATCGTATTTCTAAAAGGATCCTCGATGTAACATGTTTAGAGCACACAAAGGTTTCTTTATTATTTCAGCAAAATTTTGCCAGTAGACAAAACTCGATATTCTATCAAATTGTCTAATCAAGAAATATTAGACAAAATATTAAAGAAAATGGTATAGGCTTTAAAAGTATTCTCACCATCACAAATATCTATTGCTGACCACTCATCATCATTAGTAGGGTGCTCTAGTTTGAGCATCTTGACTAGGTCGATTCTCTCGGCAAGGTATTTTATAGATGTGTAAGGCTCCCTGAGTTGTGCTATTGGGTAAGAACCCATTAACACCTACCAAAAAAAAAAAAAAAAAAAAAAATTAACATGTTTCAAATAATATAAACTTGAATAATACACTTACCTGGAGTACCTTGGGAACTCGGGATGGGAAGACTAGACCAGGGCAATCGCAAAGCCTTACGTTTGATGTAAGAAATATGGTCTGAAAGTGCTTTGTATGACCGGGTGTACGTGAAACGCTAACGACCTAACAAATTTACACTTTGAGAAATGAAAATTCATCTATTGGATTTTCCAACAATGACTATACCTTTTTACCCATGAGGGCATTTAGAAGCGATGATTTACCAACATTTGGCTGACCGATGCAACCTATTGTTACCATTCCACCTTCAAATTTTTTGAACTCGTAAAAGTTGGTGTCTTGAGATTTTAACTGTAATGTTAATAAAGTCAAATGGTTATTTATCAATGTCAGATGTACTGAACCAAAATCGACATCAATTTGGCTCAGATTAAGGTTAAGTCTGATGAACTCAACTAGTGAATCATGTAAATTGATTAGATTATAGCTTACATTGATCGTTTCTCCGATTTCAACTTGATCATCGTATTCTAAATTCATTTCTTCTTTAATTTTTTCATTCCAAGAAGAGATATCGACTACAATTGAAATAATTTATTACCTGAGAAAGACGAGGAAAAAAATATACAAACCAAATACTCACCCTCGTCTTTGATTATATTTTTACAAGACTCATACAGTTTTTGCGCGCCCTCTGCTGCCATGCGCATTTTCACCTTCCTCCTCCTGACTTGGAGCCCTAACGACTTGACCGATGAACACTGCAGGAGGTTGTAGGACGGAAACGATGTAAACGTAACGATCTCCATTTTTGGATATTTCGTTTTGAAATAGTTTTTCCACGCAACTGTGACAGACGGCAGGGCCAGGTCTATCTTGTTGAGTACAAGGATTATACTTTTGTTCAGTTCTTTTGTGATATAATCATATAGATATGGTGGAAACATCAGAGCCTGAAAAACATCACGGGTAGCATTGAACATTACAAATGACAGTTATTTTAAAAAATTGGACATTTTTATTGACTAGGAAATTAGAAGTAATCTAGTAAAACAAAAAATTAAGCTTAAAGTTTATTTCTAACTTGATCAGTCTGCCTACCTCACTGGGTTTTTTTCTGACAGACTCATTTCTCTAGTCTGTGTGTTATTTTGCTAACCGCATCTTTTTACAAACAATTGCCTCTGATTAAACTGCAAGCCTCACCCTGCATATAACCCTACTGAAGTGGCAGAATGGTTCTGACAGTCAAAACTAGCAAGAAGAGGCAGAAACTTCAATGCATTTTGCAAAGCTTATTAATAAATTGGCAGAATAAATTATTTCTATAATATTATTGAAAATAACTATTAAATGTTTCTTTTTTAATACTTTTTATTAGTTTGGATCATTGTCTTTAAAAACCTTGAGAAATAATGATTTTTCAAGACCAATTTATCGTATACTCATTATTTCTTTAATTGTGGTGTAAGAAATATTAATTGTGGGAAACGTACCGGATATCGGATATCGACTATGATTAAAAGGATGTCGGACATCTCCAGGACCCTCCATAATTGCCTCCATGTTTCAAGATTGAGTTCGAAGTAGCTAAGGTTTTCGTCTCTGAATTTTTCCTCGACGTTCTTTAAATACTCCTAAAAATAAATAACCTCAATTGGTTATTTCCCCCGTGTCATTTTCGACATTATTTGGTCACTGCGTCTCACGGAAAAGTGGCGATTTTCTATAGCGTTTAGCTCCTCCTTCGACATGCTGAAATCCCATGGCGGCCTGGTCGGAAACTTCAGATCAGGAGGAAAGTACTTTTCGGCTTCGATTTCAAGCTCTTCAGGCTTTACAGGCACCAATGACTTTGTTGCTTCTTCCTTCCCTTTTTTGACCTCGGCCTCTGAATCCTTCCGAAACTGGAGATTAAACCTGGATGAATAAATATCAATTAATATTTTAGTAATACCTTGTTTTATATATATAATCTACCATTAGTCATAACAGTGCTGTTGTTTGACTAAACTATTATTACAATTTTTAGGCTAAATACACATTTACTTCAATAAATAGATAAATACATAAATTAATAAATAAATAGATAATTATTTAATATTTAAGTGAATAATAAAAAACATGATGGCATAACACATTTCACATCACACATTTACGCTAATAAATACATTCACTCTCAACACAAATTAGATAAACACAACTGTTATTTCTACATACAACAGAACAACCCCCGGTTCTTCCAAAAATTGGAACAGGGGACCAAATACCCGCTGCTCAAGCAAAATGATCAAATCAGGTGGCATCCCTGCGCGCTCTATGGAATCAAGGAACAGGAATTAGTAGGGACATATCGAGCAACCTTTTTTCTCATGCCAGAAACATACACAAACTTTGGCCTAAAAGTAAGTGTCTGTATGTCAATTTGGTATGGCCTATTCTTAATCTGGTGAGGATGACTCTTCTTCTAAGAGCCAGACCCTCTGAGGGCCACCCATCGACAGTGTTGTTGTTACACGAGAGGCCCAAAGATTTTATAGTTGTTCTTAATTTATTTATTCACATTTTTGGTTTTTTTCTTTTTCTTTAACTAAGTTTGTAACCAAATGGCTTGGATTGCCATAAGACTCCACACCTGACCAAGTAGCAGGCCTAGCGAGGCTTAGCTGTCCCCACCTGAGACTGGATGGTCCAGGCCCTCTGCACTACCAATTATCACGAGAGTTGTACTGATTTGTTAATTATACCTTGCCTTATTACCTTATTCTACATTATTTTCTATTTTCCTTGTTCAACTATTTTTCTTGCTATATGCGACCCTTACCTCGCCTATGCCAACTGGTCATAAGTTTTAATTCTTATCTTTTATTACTTAAACTAGGCGAGCCTTTTTCTATGTTCTTATTTCTTTGGCTTTTGCCTTGCGCCCAAGTTTGGTAAAGTTAATTTAGTTTTCTTCTTAAGCTTATTCCTTATCCTGTTCAGGTCATAAAAGAAATTGATGCCCAACATTAAGGAAAATTCAAGAGTCATAATTATTTATTGTTTATTTGTTATATTTATGATTTATTAATAATGTATATTGCACTGTGCTTTTTTTTATTGATATAATAAGTAAACATATATTGTTTAATGTAAAATATATTTTCGCTTGTTTTTGTTTATGTTTTTATTTTCGACTAATTCTTCTTTTCTATTTTCAATTAAGTTTGATTCATTATTTTCTATATGTATTGTAATAATCCTTAATCAACAACACATTAATTTTTAAGAACTCTATACATTTTAGATTTTTTTTTAAAATTAATACTTTATATCATAACTTCATTACTTTATTTGTTGTAAAATATTTTGAACTTTGATTATTTGGAGATCGTGAGATGCGGTCTGGTGTGATGTAGGTTTTAGAAAAACATTTTCTTTATCGTGCCAACGTTTTGGATCTTTATTGAGATCATCTTCAGGGCCTGGGATTTATAAACATTGTTTAAATTTTACAGATACATACATACGGTGAAGAAGCAGAAAAAAAGTGAATTTATACAATCCTACAAAATTTTAGATAAAAAAAAGTGAATTTATACAATGCTAGAAAATTTTCTAGCATTGTATAAATCATTCTTTTTTTAAATCTACAATTTTCTATCATTGTATAATTCATTTTTTTTTTAATCTAAAATTTTCTAGCATTGTATAAATTCACTTTTTTTCACATCCTACATGTATCTGTAAAATTTAAACAATGTTTATAAATCCCAGGCCCTGAAGATGTTCTCATTAAAGATCGAAACGTTGGTACGATAAAGAATACGTTTTTTCTAAAACCTACGTCACACCAGACCGCATCTCACAATCTCCGAATAATCATTATCTAACGGTCACTAAACACCACACATTTTGAACTTTGTTTTATTGAATGTAAATGTTATCACTTATTTATTATGTACATATTTTATTTCATAACTTTTACTGTTTAGATTGAATCTTTTTCTATTTTTTCATTTCTTTGGCTTCTGCCTGGCGCACAAGTTTGGTAAAATTGATTTAATATTCTCTTTAAATTTATTCCTTATCCTGTTCAAGTCATAAGTTCTTTTTTCAATTTACATTTTGTATTATTCTGCACTTTTGTTATCCTGTTTTCATTCAACTCCAGCAGACGGACTTTTCCATGCCATAATGGTACTTATTTAGTGGCTGTAATTTAATTATACATTATTGGATGTGGAACAAATAAAGTTCCTTTATTCATTTTTTTTTCTCAGTGCATCAAACCTGTGCAATTGTCTCATGAATTTTCTCGGCTTTGGCAAAGGAATGTTCAGTTTTAATCTAGTGTTGAAAAATTCAACAATTACTTGCTCATCCATCAACAGGGGCACTCGGTATATAGGAGAAACATCATAGATACACATAGTACTTGCTCTGGTGGAACATGGCAGAATATAGATATTTTTGATTTGACATTTTCTGCATTCAGTACGGCAAACGATGAGGTCTGTTGAAAGACCAAATCCTCACAGTTCCTTCACACTAGCCTGGGTTGGTTTCGTTTTTGATTCTCCAGCAGATTTAGGCTGAGGCACAAGTGATACATGTGCACAGTGTTTTCCTGCTTCACTCTGAATTGAAATTGCCTAAAAGCCAAAACAAACAGCATTCCTTCACTGTCACCGATCGTTCCACCCAGTTCGATGATGCAAAAATCAGGTTTTTTTGCTCTCTTCGCTCACCGGATGGTTTGCCACTTTTTCAACCCATTCTTGGATCGTATCAGTCACACGAGGAACAACTTGTACAGTTTTCCCTAGGTAGTTTTTATTTTCAATTGAGTTTGGTTCACTGTTCATGTAACATAATAATCCTTAATTAACCACACATCATTTCTTAATTACTTGTATTTTAATTTTTTTAACTTAATACTTTATATCATAACTTCATTACTTTATTTGTTGTAAAATATTTTAATTTTGTTTTATTGTATGTAAATGTTATCACTTATTTATTATGTACATATTTTATTTCCTAATTTCTACTATTTGGATTAGAATTTAACGAATTCAAAGTTACAAATAATTATAAACCAAACACAATTACTTTCCTCTCTTAATGCCAGATTCTGATTTGGCAAGTTATTATCTCGATAATCCCCTTTTAAGTTGGATATACCACCTGACTGAAGACCTTGTTAAACTTATTAAAAGTTGGGGCTTAGGACAGCCATATACTGTTAATAACCTAAGAATTTGCATTAAGGATTATTTTTTTACAAAATTATTTGGTTTGTACTTTCTGACAGACCTATGGATCAAGATATATCTCGACCTAGTTTTCCTTAGGTAGTTGCCTCTTTTTTTTTTTCTTTTTTTTTTTTTGATACCAGGGACTGGAGGAGTTCCCTCCTGAGCACTGCAGCTGAGCTGTACAGCTTATTGTACTTTATCCCTGGCTCCATATTTTGGGGGAGTGCTCGCAACACAAATCTGAACTTGAGCCCCCGTTGTACCGGTGTTCTTCCATCGAAGAAACTCATTTTTGAAGGGGGTTGGGACCAAATTCAGGGTCGCTGAGATCCAATCCCGCCCCTTCCATTGATGAGTGCCGTGTCAATTTCTTTCAATTGCGGCCACCGGTCCCTGTCAGAAAAAGTCCAGAGGCGATGGTGGGGATCGAACCCACGACTGCAAGATCTACTAGCCTAGAGTCTGACGCCTGAACCACTCGGCTACCGCGACCCCCTTAGTTGCTTCTTCCTCCTTAGTATCACATGTTGATGTATCTTACCTGTTGTTATATTGTTATCGCTTGTAAAGTCACATCCAAAAATCTTTCATAATTGCCAAAATCCAAGTGCACTTCCCCTCCATCATCACAAATGTATGTTTCACCATGCTCGTAAGGTTAGAATGTCCCGTATATATTTTAATTGAGGTTACATGAATTCCGCAAGACTTTAAAATGGTGCAGAATGAGCTTGCGAAATAAAGATATTATTTATTATTATATACTACATACACAACACTGGATCAAGTTGTTCTATGGGTTAGTCGGTTCCTACGTAGTCATCACGACTTCGAATTCCGACTTCTGCAATGACGAAACCCGTTGCTAGGAAAACGCAGCTTAACTATATTTAAAAGACTAAATCCACGACGAATGTATGTACGTGTAAAGGAGCTTTTAAAGCCCTTGTACCTTTAAAATAAATAAATGAATTAATGATTCAACAAAATCGAACCTGTTGACGTTGGACTTTCCAGGCCCTTTGGTCGGTTGTCTGTTGATCCTTTGCACAGCCGGTTCGTCATCATCGCTGCTCCTGCTCATCACCAGACTCGGCATCCTCTTTCCTTAAAACGAAAAAAAAAGTAAGCAGAGTCAAAAAGTGTTTATCGTCCGGATGGACCTTAGTTTACCCTGTTTTTTAGCTTTGAGCTGTTCTTTCTTCGCCTTTCCGCTGAAGGGCTTCTTCCTTTGGGGTGCCATCAGCAGCATAAACGTCTGGTGTGTAACATGTGATAAAAGAGTTTACGACCTACTGCTCTACTAGGGTAAACACGTGGGCTACCTCCCGTCAAGTTGCAGGCTGCCTGGAAATCAGAAAAAACATCCCTTTTTTTATTATTTAGTATTTAAATAAATATTTGTTAAATTTAATCAACAATATACTTATAGTTGATCTGAGTAATATATAACATCATGACACATGCAGTTGTCTCATTATCTAATGACCCTTCTAGAACTTACACTCATGTAATTCCTTCTTAGAATTGACTTGAAAAATACTTTGTAACTTCATAATTTACCTTTTTTAAAAATAAAAACTCAAAAAATAATTAGAAAAACGCGAAATTCTGCTATTTTCTCAGCTTGTATCGTGTATTGTAGGAAGGTTCAACAGATTATTGCATATTCCAGTGAATATAAAGTTCAAAACTAAACGCATGTATTTCATGTCTTGCAAATGACACGATAAATGTTTTTTTTTTTTTTTAATTAACAAAGTGATACGAGGCACATTTAAAAGTAAATTCAAGAAGGTGAAAAAGGAGAAATTTGGCTGTATTCCTGATTTATCTGACACTGACAGTCTGATCAGCTGGTTCAGTTAACAGCACGTTTGGCCGGTGCTACTTGGTACTTGGTATTTGGTACTCTTCAGTTGCCAGTTGATACTTGTCGTTTTCAGTTATCCGATCCTAAAGATTTTTATACCTCGCATCACTGGCAATGATAGCACATTTCGAATTTAGAGTATTTTAATTATTTATTTTTTGATTTACCGTTTGTATTCAACTTTTAATAATAGATGCTATTGGGTTGTGAGTGGAAGAAATTGCTTAGGTACGTTGTCTTGATAACAGTTTTCATTATATACACTTTTGCTATATATTTCCCGGATTATAAACGCCCTCCAGTCAAACAAGGTAGGTGAAATTTAATTTTTATTTTATATTTTATGTTCTTTTATTTTAAACCGCCTTCCAGAGATTGGTCCATTCTTTTAAACTGCTCAAAAATGAATAGGTATATTGCCAATTTTGTAGTATTTGCTTTCTCTAGATATTTTTATTATAAATTGCAATTTATTAGAAATTATTTTTTACCAGAGGAAAATTGAATTGAGATTTTGAAAAATGAAATAAAAGGTTTTAACTGCATTTTGTTTATATGTACACAATATTTTTTTAAAACAAAGTCCTCTGTTAGATAAAACCTCTGTGTACCTGTCAGGCATACTGTTAATAAGGTTGTCACTAATTTCATAAGGAATTTCACTCCGAAGAAGACATGGAAGTAGTATGCTGTGTGGAGGTGCCTGTTATGTGGAGACTTCAATAATAACTGATGGCAAAAAGAAAAAAAAATGACATCCAAATGATCTTGGGGCATGGCGCAGGCAGCAGCTGATCCAATACATCAGGGCCATAAATATTTTTAATTGCATATACACTGACAGGCGAAAAATTCCACTCACTTGTAATATAACTTGATTTGTATATATCTTTATAAAATAACGTAGTTTCACATTTTTTAACATGTAATAATTGTCTAAAAGAGTTTAAAAAAAAATGTAAATTGGTAACGGAAAAAAAAAGAAAGATCAACAAATAAAATTTGTTTTTAATTACATCTCGAAGACGCCTCGGCATACTTTCTACCGGCCTGGAAATGTCTCTGCTGAAAGTTGGCCCATTCTTCACGAAGAGTCCTTTCAAGATCGTGGTGGGTATCAGAAGGCGATGGACTAGCTCTTCTTTGTCTTTTGAGGTTATCCCATAAATGCTCAATGGAGTTCTGGAGAAGGGGCTGACCAGGCTAAGACCCTGATGTTATGCTGTTGAAGGTACGTTTGTGCGACATGTGGCATTATTGTGCATTAGATTAGGATTGTTGCTGATTTAATCGAGAATAGGCAACGCATGATGTACCACAATGACATCCACGTCAAAGACCCTTCATGAACAGCAACCAACTCTGTGCAACTCTTCATTGAAATTCGTGCCCACACCATCGCTGAGCTATGTTGGTTGGCTCTGGGAAAAATTACATGCTTTGTACCTGTCATTTCGCCTTCTCCACACTCTTTCATGCCCATCTGGAGATCGAAGAGCAAATCTACACTCAACTGTAAAAAGTATGGACCAATCATCCAAAGACCAATGGCTGTGTTCTTGAGTAAATGCGAGACATGCAACTCTGTTGGTTCTGGTCAATTCTGGGCGAAAAGCCATCAGTCCATACAGGTTTAATCTTCTTTGAACAGTGCATTCGGAAATTTGGAGACCTCAAAATTCCTGGAGCTGATGAATCAATTGAACAACAGTAAGGTGCGGAGTTTGAAAAATTCTCCAAGTCAAAAAATGATCATCTGGTTCTGTTATACTAGGGCGTCCAGAACTGGGCCTTCTAAGATAGGTTCCAGTTTCTCGAAAACGTCTTAATGTTTCGTAGGGAACTCTGATGGCAATAACCACACACATGATGTAACGTCCATCATCAATAAGTGCCACACCACGCACAACATCCTCAGCATTAACTGGCATTTGAAGTTTAAAAATTGAAATTAAGAAAACAAAGATGAAAACTAAACAGTTTATTGCTTCCGAATTTAAATGAAACTGAATAAACGATTTAAATTCTGTAAAAATTAAACATTAAAAATCCTTAAGGATTAAGTGTGTTTACATCTAATTAATATTCCCAATTTAAAATATAGCATTAAAAAAAATATCTATTGATAAAAACAAGTGATAGAATTATTTCTGTGTTTTTGTTGTGAAAATCAGAAAAACCCAACTGTAAAAAAGGTTTACAGATTTTTTTTTAAAAAACAATTTTCGTTTTATTCCTCAGTAATGTTTTATATTTGTAAAGTAAAGTAATTACTGTTTTACAAGAGGGGTTAACGTCTGATTGAGTGTCTTGGACAAGGAGTTTACAAAACATTTTTCATACTATTTTCCATTTGAAAAACAAAAACAAAAAACAATGGGTTATGCTGGGATTTGAACCCAGGACCGCTAGCGTGGCAAATATGAGTCGGATATCTTAACCGCTTATATTTGTGTATGTATATTTAAACAAATAATATATTAACACTCTTTTTCTACTCCAGTTGCAGGTTGGGAGTTGAATGTTACCCGCGATGTTAGAGTTTATGTAGTTCCCGAGAACATAACATCAATTATAAGCGGGAAAAATTTATGTGAAGATCAGAAAGTAAATGTAATAATCATAGTCTGCTCAGCGCCAGAAAATGTTGATCGAAGGCTCGCTATACGCCAGACCTGGGGCTTGCACAATTTCTCAAACGTGAGAGTGGGCTTCCTGCTTGGTTGGACGTACAACATATCATTGCAGGTGAGCGAAAGCTTAACCGGCCGATGAAAATTGTTTCAATATTTTTTTTTCAGATACAAATCGAGCAAGAGAGCAGCGAATATCACGATGTTATTCAGGAGAATTTCATCGATTCGTACAACAACCTCACGATCAAAAGTGTCATGATGCTCAAATGGTACATACATTATTGTCCGTCCTCTACATATCTCATGAAGACAGACGACGACGTGTTTGTCAACGTTACCAATCTGTCCAGGCTTCTAGAAAACCTCAACTACACGGTTGTCCTCCTCGGCTCCCTTATTTGCCATGCAAAACCTATTTTAGATGTTAATAATAAATGGTACGTCAGGGTTAAATTTTTGTAACGAACACCTTTACATTAGTTTGGGTCTTTTTTTTAGGTATAGCCCAAAATATTTGTACAGAAAAGCTTTTTATCCTAATTATCTTTCTGGGACGGGATATGTAATGTCTAGGCAGGTGGCTGTGAAACTTTTCAATGCTGCATTAACAACTCCTCTTATTCACCTCGAAGACGTTTACATAACAGGTAAACGATTAATTTTTATATGCATAAAATAAATCCATATATTTTTAGTGGTCATAATTGACAATATTAATTATTCCAATTAATTTTTTTTTTAATCTAAGGCATTGGTTGAGTTGAAAAAGTTAGTGTCACGAGCGGGTTGAAACCCACGACCTTTGGCTAAAAATGTATGAATTAATATAATAATTAAAGAATTAACCACTTCTCTAAAAGCTCCCCGTGGCCACTTCATAAGTTGTTGAGAATCAAATCCTGATTACACGACATTTGAAAAAATAGCAAAAAGAGGACAAATTCAAAAAGTCGCAGGTTGGATGGGTTCAGATCACGCTCATGAAACTATCTTTTTCTTCTCAACCAAGACCTTAGATAAAAAGAATAATTAATTGGTATAAAATAAAATTGAAATTATAATCACCTTTTTACATTAAATCTGGAATATCCCAGATAATAACGTGTACAAAGTCTTATAGAATTTTTCCCCCATTTATTTATTTATTTTACAACAGTAAACAAAATTCAAAAACCAAAAATTAAAAAAATTGTATTATAACAAATTATTTATATATATTTGCACATACACAATAGTGTATGTGCATTTACATGTCTGGCGTGGTTGATTTGAAAGGCTCCTTCTTGTGAGCGAGTACATTAAAAACTTAAAAAACCTCATGGAAAAACTGGATGATTTATTTTATTTATTTTTTCTTTATTTATTTTATTTTTAAAGCTTTACTCATTTTTCAAAATATTTCACTGTACGACTGAAGTATAAAGACCTGAACCGGCTCTTAAATAAACAAATGGATTTTTCTGCTGACAGGGGTGGTAATTATTTTTGTAAACACTTTTTTTATCACCTGGATTTCTTATTGGTGGATTCTAGTTATCTCTTGACACTTTTGTTTTCATACTGAATCTAAAAAAATTCTTTGGTATTTTTCAGTTTGTATTATCATACAAAATTATTTTATCATCGTGCATTTTAAATACTATTTGAAATGTTATCATTAAAAATGTAAGGTTTGCCTTTTCTTCGAGATAAACGTATCTAATTTAATCTAATTCCAATATAATCCTTTAAAAATTATTTTTAAAAAAATCAAGGTTAAACTTGTAAACGCCAAAGTCATATCGGTCACCGTTGATCGTTCCTGATCATTCTTGCCTGCCCAATCTTGCCAACATAGTTTCATTAGTAATGCTCAGTCGGACAGTTTTTTTCTATCATTGATACCAAGGTTATTGCACAAACTTTTTATCTTCATTAAAAGGTTTTTGTTAACAATTGGCAAATTTATCACATTTGATAAAAATTCAATTCAAAAATTCATTTTCTCAGGCAACGGAAAATGCAGAGTTTAACTCACTCTCAACACAACATACAGTAATTACACAGAAAACATGAAAAGCCCTGAAGATGATCTCAATAAAGATTGAAACGTTGGCACGACAAAGAAAATGTTTTTCTAAACCTGTGTCACACCAGACCGCATCTCACGATCTACAAATAATCATTAATTAACGGTCACTAAACACTTCATATGTTCGTGCGTGCGCAAAGTTTAACACTACATGTAACGAGATTTAATATATACCTGTTTGTATCACAACCGGTTAAATGATTGGTCTTTTGGTCTTCATTTTTCCTGATTGAATGGAGAAATATTTATTTTGTTAAGAAAATATTAAACAATGTAACTTTAGGGTAATAAATAAACGAAATGTATTTTTTCAAAAAAAAAACAAACAAAAAAAAAACAAATAGGAAGTTCATTGAGGATCATTTTTTAGTCAGGTTCCAACGTACGCTTTTCACAAACATATTTCATACATTTATAACAGATTTTTATGGTTTTATTGTCTTTACTATATTTGACATGTTTTACTTTTATTAGAAACTTGTAGAATTAATCAATGTTGTTTTCTTATTTGTTATTTTTATTTTATTATTTTGTATAGTAGGCTGTTGAACAGAAGTATGCTGCAGCATGGAATTTTATTTATTAACAGAAAGTTTTCGACCTCATGACATGAGTCCTCTTCAGTGTGAATTACATTTTTCTGTCCTACATAAAATCTGTGGACTTGCTGACAATTAACTTATTTGGCGGACTCACCTTAAAACTGAAGAAGACATGTCATGAGGCCAAAAACGTTCTGTTAATAAATAAAATCTCATGCTGCAGAATATGTCCAAAAATCTACAATGCAAATAATAAAATGATAAAATAAACTGCAAAAATTAAAAAAGTTTTAAAAAATATATTATTCTTCTCAGGCTTATCAGTGGCAATTTTACTCCTAACGAGTAAAAAATCTTGTCTCGATATATTTTCTCCTGTCGTTTTCTTATACAGTACCCAGGCATCTATGCCTTCTAAATCAAAGATATTAAAAAATAATTGGATAGGCCATATACAAGACTTTGGGCTATTTCCTCACCATTTGGCCGGTCATGTCCACACCGAATTTAGTTTGGTATAATATGAAATGATCTTGGGTAAACTTTTCATTTTTTTTTTTTTTCAACTTTTGCTAAGTAAAAGTACTTTTTTCTTTGGCTTTCTTTTATCAATTGTAAGAGCACAATTATATTATTTGAAAACTTTCGTTGAAAACCGTTTCATATTTCCAAATATGGAAGTGTATTTTTGTCTATTGCTAACCAGGATTTGATGCCAATTTTTCTGGCTTATTGGGCATATGTTGGGTAAAGCTGCATCTTGCTTTTATTGGACGTCCATGGTAATTTTTGCCCCTGGTTTATAACAGTTGTGAGTCAAAAAAACTAAATTAATTGAGAATAGTCAAAACTTTTGACTATTCTCAATTAATTTAGTCCATACCTCAGATATCAAGGCGAATTTATCTTTTTTCAAACTTTGGCTCCGTCTGCACTTTTTTATTATTATTAGTAGTAAAGCAATTTCTGCTCATGGTTTCTAAGAAAAATTGAGGACCCCATGCATGCTCTATTCCACAAAAAAGAAACTTTCAAATTTTTTTTTCACCTCGTGCATCTAAAACTGCAACAATTAGCTCGAGATAATCTCCATTCAGTTTCTAAAACTTGATTTCCTTCTTCTATCGTGCATATTCTTATGTTTCTCATGTGGGGTTGAAAATGCAGTCTTCTTACTCTTAATAATGTTGTTTTGAATATCCCTTTAAACCTGGTTCTTCTCTGGTAATTACTCAATTAATTCTACACAATTTTTCAAAATTAATTCTACACGGTTTTTTTCTAAGGATTCGAACCAACGACTTTCGGCTATATACGCCGCTGCTATATGACTTGAGCTACCGTGACTTTGGTCACCCATGCCACAAACTTCCCATTTCGACTCCCCATTTATTTTTATTTTTTATTTATGATTCTCAGGTAATGTTATGAAGTTCTACTCTTCCAGATGTAGCACCTATTTTTATTTTTTCTCAGTAATGAAGTAAGTTAAGTTCCATCAATGAAGTAAGCTGATCATTTTTTTTTTCATTCTCTTCTTCAAAATTTAAAAGCAATCTCATTCTTTTTGATCCACCATATTTATTCACAGTATGTTCTTCCTCATTGTCGGTAGACTCAGACTCACTGTCTAATAGATTGTTGTCATTTCCAAACAGTCATTTCAGAGTTCATCTTCATTAGTTCCTGAAAATTCTTCGTCTATTATTTATTTCTTATAAGTACTTGGATTGTCTTGACATGTTTCTGGGTTAACTTTATGTGGTTATAGAGTGGATTATGGAGTAATACCCTAAAAAGCAAAATATAAACCAGCTGCTGGCAATATTTAGTTTTTTAACCCTTTATTCAACTAAAACGATACTTGCAACTTGAAACAATACAACTTGAAAAAGTTCATTCACAGAAACTAACAGCAGGACTACTTGTGGATTTTTGGTAAGGGACCAAGGTTTATGTTTCTTGGACTGAATCAAATTACATAATTTTAATTAGTATATACCAGCATAAAATATGATGAGAACCAAGGAGAAGAACATACTAAACTTAAGACTCCATATTTGCTTAGAGGTCATAATTGATCAGATTAATTATTTCAATTAATTATTCTTTTTATCTAAGGTTTTTGGTTGAGATGAAAAATTGAAAATATGACAAAAAGAGGAAAAATTCGAATGGTGGTAGGTGAGATGGGGAGTTGGTGTCCAAGGGGATCGAAGTCACAATAGCTCAAGTGGTTAGAGCAGCGGCGTATTGAGGCGAAGGACGTGGGTTCGAATCCTGCTCGTGACACAATTTTTTATCTCAACTAAAAAACCTAAGATAAAAAGAATAATTACTTAGGACTTGTGTTGAAACGGCACAGGGTCACAGTTATTGGGTCTGTGTCCAATTCCTCACTAAAGAGGCACAATGCTGAAACTCATTTGAATAACTCAGTAAATGCCCGTGTGCCAGTTCAACATGAGTTCACCGATTTGCAGCTACCGTCATCAAACCTAGGACTTATTTGATAGTACAACTGCTCACTGAACAGGGCTGATTGAAAGAATATGTGCACTCGGAGCAGCAGGAAGGATGCATAAGAAATTATTTAAAGTTTTCTGACACCTTGTTCACAAGTCCTGACTGATTTAATTACCATTCAAAACCATTTTTAAAAATTAATTTATATTCTTGGCTGAAAATTGATTTTTCTGATGGAACTTTTTCTCAGGTATTTGTGCATTGAAGGCTGGCGTAAAACCGAAGAATAACATGGCATTCACGTATTTGCACTTGAGTGATAACTGCCTTTTGAACATGATCACGAATCACAGGATGACCCCACAGGAGCTGTACATCTTATGGAAAAACAGGAACAATTGCGTCGAAAAGCCGAGACTGACCGCGACACATCGTACTAAATTGAAGAAGATACAGAGCGATTGTCATTAGGTAGTATTGTGATTTTATATTTTTTAGAGATTTTGATATTAAATTTACGATGTGCTATTGTTAGGAGAAAGAAAGCCATAACTAGTCTGCTCTCATGTACTTACATCAAATCTGAGAGACAATTTGTTAAGCAAGCGTTAACCCTGTTATAAATTTGTTTATCCGCGTCTAATTTTTTTTTTTTAATTAAATTTCTTATTGTTTTATTACATTCTTGTAGGCTGCAAATTGAAAAAAATTAAAAATATCTTCATATAAAAATTCTTGTCAAGATTGCTGATTTGTTTATTAAGTTACCACAACAAATTGTCTTTGTAAACTATTAAAAAATAAACTTTATTTTCAGTTTAAATTTTTAATTTTCACCTAGTTCTTACTCTTCGAGAGTAGAGAAGTGAAAAGGCTGTTGAAGTTCATTGCAGGAAACCCGGAGCTTACTCTCAGTTATCCGGCGGGTTTCTCGACCAAGCCAGGCAGCCACCCCTTGGCAGGCACGATCCTGAAAAAAGTATAGCCAGGTATACGAGAGAATTTGAACTTGGACGTAATCCCTTTACGTTATTTTTGGCGAAGCCTTAAGCCAGAAACACACTTACGCTACGCCATGCGACGCTACCCGACGCAAATCCAAACTCCGATTTTCCATAAGGTTGCATTACCCCCGTGCACATCTACCCGATGCTACCCGACGCAAATCCAAACTCCGATTTTCCATAAGGTTGCATTACCCCCGTGCACATCTACCCGACACTCGGCGATCTCCACTGTCCAGATTTTTGTCGGGTCGCATTGAGTATAGTCAAAGACAAAAGAACCAGACACTCATATTTTTATTCAAACTACATGTATTATTGTCGTTATATTAATTACAACATACTTATTTTTATATAAACCAAATTAACTGTAATTAAAAATTAATTAGTTTTTATTTAAAAAATTAATTTTAATGATTAGGTAGAAAATTAATCAAAACACCGGAATTTTTTGATATAATGAATTTTACTAACAATTTATTGTACTCGCTTTGGTGGTACATATACTAAAATTGGAACAATTTATTACACGGTTTTTCTCATAAAATTTAATTAACCATTTATTTCATAGTTTTGCTCGTAAAATTACACCATTTTGTAATGTCGGGTAGCATCAGAACAGGACACTCATATTTTTTGTAGTTTATTTCAAATTAAGTACATGTAAGTTTGTCATTATATTAATTACATGTTATTTTAATGTAAACCAAATTAAACGAGATAAAAAATGCATAAGTTTTTATAAACATTGTTTAATTATGACAATTAATTAAGGTTTTTAGTTGTGATGAAAAAAAGCTAATGGCATGAGAGGGATTCGAACCCACGACATTCGGCTAGATACGCCGCTGGTCTACCACCTGAGCTATCATGACCTTTTGCCATTTTTCAAATGTCGTGTAATCGGTTTGGATTCTCGACGACAATTGAAATGGCGACGGAGAGCTTTAGTGAAGTGTACTTCATTTTTAAATCATTAATTCACTACTTTCGTTGTCCGCTTGACCAATTAATACATGACAATTAATTAAGGTTTTTAGTTGAAATGAAAAAAAGTTAATTCGGCTAGATACGCTGAGTGGATTGAGATAATGATAGCTCAGGTGGTAGAGCAGCGGCGTATCTAGCCGAATGTCGTGGGTTCGAATCCATCTCGTGCCATTAACTTTTTTTCATCTCAACTAAAAACCTTAATTAATTGTCATGTATTAATTGGTCAAGCGGACCACGAAAGTAGTGAATTAATTGTTTAATTATGATGGTTAGGAGTAACTTTATTTAAAACAATTAAGTTTAACAAACAATGTATTAGATGGTTGTGCTCATAAAATTTAACTAACAATTTATTACATGGCTGTACAAGGTTTTGCTCAAAATAGTGCATTAAGAACAAAAGATGCGTTGCGATTGTGATAGTGATTATTGTGAAAAACGCTGTGGACTGTACACGACGTGTGCTTGTGTCGGATAGATGTGCACACCCCACCAAAACGTGGCAAGGTGTCGGGTAGCGTCGCATGGCGTAGCATTGGGTGTGTTCCCGGCTTTAGGGAGGGCTACTTGAGCTGCGAAACTGACCAACGCCTCTTTGGTTCCTCCCAGCTGATCTTGCAGTACTAGCCAGGTTGTGTACACTGCCACACTTCTGCTGGCCTATATTTCTACATTAGATTTTCATCTTGGCTAAAATACGGGTATAGAACATGTCTCAAACTAGCATTACAGTATGTACGTGGAGCTGTATGCAATTTTGCACATGCTCAGGGTGATTGGAGATGATGGAGACTGCAGTGTGCCAATGCCCTGAGTGCTATTTCAGCCATTTATAACTGATTCTTGGTAGAAACCTTCAGTCATGCTCTTATTAGAGAGATATACTGACGAGTGCCTTGGAAAAAAAGTTGTCTAGGTACTTTAATTGTTGGGTGGAGGCATGTGCAGAGGAGGTGGCAAAAACTGGGACGTCCAGGCACAACCACAGTGATCGGTCTAATGACACTGTACGTGCAGTAAAGGACGCAATAAAAGAACATTGGCAGCATCAATGAGCCAGCATCATCCACAACTTAGAAATAGCCCACCGAAGGTCTGAAAGGCAAGGAAGCGATCGTGCTCAACCATTTGAAGATTGGCCATACCCTATTGACACATGAACATTACCCATGGTTGCTCATAGTCCTGAAAAAGATATGGAGATCTTTTTCGTCCGCACCAAGCTCGTTTTGTTTCTCAAGGTGAGAGGTAATGCACCTCTGCTTATGGGTGAATGTGTGTTACATTCACAGTTCATTGTAGAAGACAAGGACCAAGACCTCCTTCACTTGCCTGTTCCGAGGGGGAGGGTTGGCCATACGCACCTTACCAAGTGCTGCATAGCAAAAAAAGCCAAAGGACTGGCATGCGTCTGTCCGGCATTCCTGCCATGCTCCCTAGACAGAGAAGGCAACTGTCTCTCCCAAGTGGAAGAGGGCCTCTCTACCAAACTAAGCTCATTCTTAAGTACCCACCAGGGGTCTCTCCACAAGTAGCAGGAGCCTGGACAGCCCTTTTGCATACAAGGAGTCTTAAGGAAAAATGCCGTAGGGCCTGGTTTGAGAAAGGGAGTGCCCAAGAACGCGACGCTATTTTCAGGTTATATGCCATGCCCCATATACCACCCTTTGCACCGTGAAAATACAGACTGCTTTTATGCAAACCCCATGCAGGTGTCCCACTTGTAGAGAAAGATTGCCACACCTTGGCCATTTATAGGGAGCAAGTAGGTATGGCACCCAACATTCCTTAATCACAAGAGAGGTGTTTCTGTATAAAGGGGCGTTGACACGGCGCTCATCACTGTACGATAAAGGTCCCGGGTTCGAATCCAGCGGCCCTGCATTCAAACTACATATTTACAAATTTTTTTTTTTCAAAAACACTGGCACCCCGAGAACCTTTGCTGTTGCGAACCCGTAAAATAAATAAAAAATATATAATTATTGTGTAGCACTACAATGTGTATTTATTTATTTGAGTGAATTATTATGTTAGAGGGTTGATGGTGGAATACTTAGTACCCCTTCGGCCTTCAGAATGGATTGGGGGCTGATACTATATACTACTGTTGGTAGCATGCCATAAAATAAACAATAACGAGAAAAAACGAGTTTTAATTATAAAAATACTGTAACAAGAGTACAATTTATTGGTACAATATAACACACATACTTACATAAATATAGCTTTTTTTCAGTCAAATTGGTACTTTTTCTACCAATTTAAAACCTTTTCCAACCAATTTGTACTTTTCCCAAGTGATTTAATACTTTTCTCAAGCAATTTAATATTTTTCCCAACCAAATTAGTACCTTTCTACTTTAAGGAAAAGTTAATACTTTTCCCAAGCAAATTAATACTTATTTAAAAGGCATTCGAAACGCGGGCCTATCATTACAAGATATTAAAGAACAGCTTTCATTACACAACATAAATTTGTCTATTTCTTCAACACATCGAGGGCTAACGTCAATAAAAATAACTTTGAAGCGAGCGTCCATTGAAATAGATCGCATGAATTCTGAGTCAACGGTACAACAACGAAGGCAGTTTGCAATGGATTTTGTAATATGGGTCCCCCAAAATCGTGCAAAATTAATTTTTATAGATAAATCAGGATTTAATCTACATTTGCGGCGGACACGTACACGTTCAAGGGTTAACACGAGAGCTGTTGTCACTGTACCAGCAGTTCATGGTCGTGATACTGAAATTACCATCAGCGGTTGCTGGATGTCCCCTGCATTGACTATAAAATAAATTTTTGTTAATTTTCTTATTTTCAATAATAAATTTCGTTTCTTGACAGTATGATTGTTTGATATCCCCCTTTACCCTACCACATTTGAAAAGTATTAAATTGCTCGGGAAAAGTATTAATTTGCTTGCGAAGGGTACTAAGTTGGTTGGAAAAAGTATTAAATCGCTTGGGAAAAGCACTAATTTAGTTGGAAAAAGTATTAAATTGGTAGAAAAAAGTACCAATTTAACAGAAAAAAGCTATATAAAGAAGTTAACATCATATATTCATATTTGAGCTTAGAAATAACGTTTTTAATACTTTTTTATTAATAACCATTAAACAACGTTGTAAATTGACTATGGCTAACACCCATAAAAATTACTTTTAGTTATTGATACCTTTCTTGTTTGATCAGAAGAGTGAATATAATAAATCTTTTAAGAAAATATATCTTTAAGTGCACTTAAGAATACTTTAATTTGAAACCCTTTCCCCAGATTTTGAAATTGGATGTACATTTTAAGTATCCTTATAAGCCTCTATGGAACAAATACAACTGAATTTAAATAGAAAAGAAAAAGAAAAGACATTTTTTTTTTTAATAAGCATTGTTAAAAATGAAAATACAACACAAACTTATTGTATATATTCTTAAAAGAACTAAAATCACTGAAGGAAAATTACTTAGGTTTTTTTTCTTTTTGTTTATAGTTGTGCTGCTCAGCCTTTAAAAATTGATTTCAGACGCGTGTGAGCTTTTATGAGGCAGTTTTAACATGGGGAGAGAATCAAACATTGCCACCATGTCGATAAGGGTCCTATCGAGCCAAGTAACTGTGTTCGGATAAAGGAAACCGCCTTCGTAGAAGCCCAAATGACCTCCGTGAAGCAATTCGACGTACGCAGTTTTTTCATTTGTACCTAGAACACATTGAGAATTAAAGATTAAAAAAAAAAAGTGTTTTGATTAAGGCCTTACTTGCATGTTCCTTGAGAGGGTCTAGAAGTACATCAGGGATCAAAGGGTCGTCTAAAGAATTAACAAAAACAATAGGAACGTTGATATTCTTAAGGTAATTAATACTGCTGCTCCATTCGTACAATTCTGACAGGTTCGTGAAACCGTGCACCTTCCTATAGATTAAACAAAGAAAATAAGTAAGTTTTTTTTTTTAATAATCAAAACATATACCTTGTATATGCATCGTCCAACTCTGGCAAAGTGGCAGCTGCTATTATTTCCTTTTCCGCTAGGCCGTACTCCTGTTTAGCATTCTCAGACAGAAGGGTTGACCGATGCCTCAGAATAATATTTTTCATCGCTTCGGTGATGGCATAGAGGTAGAATCGTCGGAAATTTTGCCATTGGAGAAGCCAAAAAGTACCTCTAAAATAAATTAAAAGGAAAAATACATTAATCATACTATTTCTATTGATAAGGGGGAAAAACGGTAGTTTCATAAAAGTTGGGCTAATTTTTAAATAAAAATTATTACAAGCAAAGATATAGTCTTGAACCACCTTGGCCTGTGAATTACTGTTGGGTGCCTCACGTTTTGGCAAATTGCCATCTTGAATGGCTAGTTAAGGTTATAAGCAGGGTAAGGCGAGTAACTCTTTAATCTTTTTAGAAAGATAGTTCCTACTCACAATTAGGATCACTTGTATCATTTCTATTCGAGTAACTGTTTTCTTTCATTTTTGCAAATGGTTGCGAGTTATAAAGTGCCAGGTTGCCCTGCTTATATCCGATCATTCTCTGAACATAGCAAAATTCTGACAACTGTCATTAATGCCAAACTGTCTTAATATTAAAAAAAAAAAAAAAAAAAATGAATGCTAAATAAGAAATTTTATACTTTCTAATTTAGGCTGGAGTAAATTCCATGTATTGCCAGCCCATAAAGAAACAAGCATCGTCCTAGGTCATGACTGACAATCTTGAAAGCTGGTCATCACACAGCATTGTCCATCTCAATGATAGACTCAGACAACCTTGGCGATTTTTGAGGAGAGACTATGACTCAAAGCCTAAGGAGAAGCACCGGGAGTTTGAATAAGTGCATCATCCAAAATAGTCATGTTGTAAGTCCATAGTGAGGTATTTTTGAAGATACTCAGACTCCAGGCCTAAGAATAGATGTCTGGAGTTGAGAAAACGCACTGATCAGCATCGTCTGTGAGTATAAGTCCTTAGTGAGGCATTTTAAGCTGGGTTTCCATTGTGCAAAAAAATAACTCATGCAACTAAACGTGAGAATTACTCATGAAACGCTATGACACCAAACCACACTTATCAATATGGCCGGTTGCCCCTCTCCAGCAACCTACTGTGGCTGCCCGAAGGATTCGGGGTACTGGGGCAGGTATGCAAACAAGGTGCTAGTGACCTAATAATAAAATCATTTACAAGTAATTGGAGGCCTGAAACTTGGATGCTGGAAGGGCCGGTGGTGAACCCTATTCTGATTGTGTTGTTTAATTTTGATTAACACCGTTTAATTGTGTTTGGTTCGGTTTGAATAAAGCACTGTTTTCCTTTGGAATTATTTTACTTTAATCTCACTTTTTAATTTATATAAAAAAACCTATTTTATTTTATCATTCAGCGATGGCGTAGTTTTGATGTTTTAATTTCAAGAAAGCCCTGAAAAGGTAGATAGATCGGGTAAGCGATCGTCGACGAGGCGAAACAAGACGAGCCATCAGTTTGCACAAGACAAGCATGCCATTTATAACTACACCAATCACTTCATCAGAATTTGCTATACACGGTGCTCATCATTGTAAGGTAAAGGTCCTTGGAATGCAGGGCCGCTGGATTCGAACCCGACATACTTACAAATGGGCTTTTTTCCAAAAATCACAGCACCGATTTTATATATAAGGGTTGATATAACTTTTGCTGTTGCGAACCATCGAAAAAAAAGTTTGCAATATGCAATCTTTGCCCCATTTTGATGCTCATTTCCTTGTATGAAACCTCTCTCTTGTTCTTGTTATGATGAGTTTTACCTTTAGCATCCCAAAAAAATCCTTAGGTTGATATATTCGGATAAGTCAAATGCAGTCCTCCTGGTTTATTCTCATACTCATAGACAGAGAGAAACAAACAAAAAAACACTGATGTGCATTAAAAAACTGGTCAGCTCAACCAGAAACATCCTTATGCCAAAAGTTTCGCTGTCCCAGCTAGGTCGTGAGACAAGTTTTACGAGTGATTTTCGCGCAGTAGAAAGCCAGCCTTAGAAGATGCACAGACTCTAGTCTTAAGAAGAGACGTTTGGAGTGGAGAAAATGCAATGGCCAGCATCACTCAGACCAAAAGTGACGCATTTTTGAGGACAGAAGCACATCAGGTTGTGGAGAGATCTGAAGTTAGGAAACGCATTGTCCGTATGGACTCAGACCACAAGTCCTTGGTGAGGTATATTCATGGAGAGATTCACACTCTAGGTCTAAGGGAGGCACCATTGAGGATAGGTCTAAGGAATAGGGTCGTAGAACACGTGACTGAAAACTGTCTCAGGAGGAGCACTGTTTAAAGAACAGCTAATTTAGATCAAATGTAGCTTTGCACTTGAAAACCGGCAAAAGTAATGCAGACAAGATGCAGGAATTACCTGTTAGTAAGAAGAAGAAAAATAACTTTATCCTGGGACTGGTGTCCCCTAAGAATAATTTACATGAGATAAAATAAAGGAAGTACCTTCTATGAAGTTACAAATTAAAAAAATAAAATAAAATTAGAAATCTTTGCACAATATATGCCAGTAAGGCAGGCCAGAAGAGAAAATTACGAGAATATTAAATAAAAATAATAAATGTTATCGTGAGGTCTCTGCTTGGAGGGAGAGGAGGTGATTATACAGGTGGGATTTAAAGGAGGAAAAGGAGGCAGCGTGATGAATAAAAAGGGGAAGGGAGTTCCAGAATTTAGGGGCTTGGGTCAGAAAGGATCTTTCGAAGGTATGGGTTGTATGTTGCGGAAGGACAAGGTCGATTGGGGATGAGCGGGTCTTACGAGTGTGATGTGAGGAGTTGAATTGGAGGGATTGGATGCCAGGAACGTTGGAAATACAACCCCGTGGGGTGCCGCACACAAATCTTATGCAACAATTCAAAATACACTTCAAACGCGCGTTCTCCCTCTCCGAGAGACCACCGTATGCCACACAGCTATAATCGAAGAAGGGAAGTATAAGGGAAGGAGTTTGCGGGTAGAGAAAAGTAAGAGAAGCCAGGACCGATGGAACAGGCTGAGGGAGGCAACACAATAGCGGGAAATTTGGGAATGCCAGGAAAGGTTTTGGTCAAAGACTAATCCTAGGTTTTTAACCAAGGAGCAGAAGGGGATGGGGTGGTTATTTAGCATGAGAGGTGGGATGCTGGGGAGGGAATTGAGGAGTACCCTAAACCCGATAATTATGGCGGAGGATTTGGACGGATTGAGGACTAGGGAATTTTTATGGGCCCATTCGTTGATGGAGTTTAGGTCTTTTTGGATCTTGAGAATGGCCGAGTGAAGATCGGAAGGGTGAAAGGATATGTATATTTGGGAGACATCGCCATATAGGTGATATGAGGTGACAGGACTGGATGGAGTCGGGCAGATCATTGATATAAATGGAAAAAAGGATAGGAGAGATGCTAGACCCTTGGGGCACCCCAGATTTTAGAGGGTGGAAGGAGGAGGTAAGGCCATTGGGAAGGGAAACAGCTTGGTGGCGATTGGTAAGGTAGGAGTGGAACCAACGGATGGTGCTGGCAGAGAAGGAAAAAGATTCGAGTTTAGACAGGAGCGAAGAGTGAGGGACAGAATCAAAGGCTTTAGAAAAATCAAGAAGGACAAGTATAGTAACTTTCCGTTGGTCCATTGCTAAGTGGAGGTCACTGGTAATTTTTATTAGAGCTGATTGGAAGGAATATCCTTGGCGGAAGCCAGATTGGAGGGGGTTGAGAAGATGGGACTGTTCAAGGTGCCTGGAGACTTGTGCTTGGACTTATCTTTCTAGGGGCTTGGACAGGTTTGAGAGGATGGAAATGGGACGGTAGTCTGTAGGGGAGGATGGGTTGGGGGTTTTATTGACAGGGTGGACAAGGGCTTTTTGCCAGGCTGTCGGAAAAACGGAGTTTTGGAGTGAGTAGTTATAGATGTGAAGGAGAACAGGTAGTAATATTGGAAGGCAGAGTTTAAGAAAATGGATAGGGATGCCATCAACTCCAATGGCATTGGAGTGGGATTTGGTTATGGACTCAAGGACTTCGGCTGGGGTTAGATAGGAGAAATAGAAGTTAGACGGACTGAATGAGGGTCCAGAGGGAGCGGGTATAGGGACAGGCATTGATGAAGAAGAGTTGGGCGAGACAAAGTGGGAGTTTAATTCTTCAGGGGAGACAGGATAGGAAGATGGTGAGTTGGGTGGGCGACATAAGCTAATGTTACAAAGGAGCTTCCATTTTGCTCTAGGATCAGGACTGGTGGAGAGTGCCTCTTGGTAATGAAGGGCTTTGGTCCGACGGATATAGGATTGGATTTTATTGCGAAGGGCTCGAAAGGAAGAGTGGTCTTCAGGAAGTTTAGTTCGACGAAAGCACCTTCTTGCCGCTTCCTGTCTTTTAATTAGGGCTCTAATTTCGTCATTTAACCAAGGAGCAGGAGGACGACGGATAGTGTGGGTTTTTAGGGGGGGCATGTTTGTTAAGGATATTGAGGAGATTGGAGGTCAAGAAGTAAGAGGATGAAGCACGTGTTATCTGGTGATGGCGATTTTATCGTTAATATATAACCTTTATAATATGGGATTTTCTCTCTGATTTTTTCTATTTTTGAACCTCATCTATCTTTCAGCCAAAAAGTAAATAAGCATGAATTCTAGCTAGGTATTCTTGCTTTGCTTGGCAATAACAATTTAGCATCAATGCTGCTTACTTTGTTTAAGGTTTGACATCTTGTAAAATACAATAAAATAAAATTACCTTACAATATCATAACCCTGGCATATAGAAACAGCTCCCACTATGTTCTTTGGCTTAGGGTGAATCGTTTCACCCAAATACTTCGTCACAAGGTTTCCTCCCATGCTGTATCCCAAGCATACGATTTTGGAAGATGGAAACCTTTTAGAAATATGTTCGACCATCTCGTACAGGTCGCCTGTGTGACCTATAATCGGCATTTGACAAGTCGTAAAAAGATACGTGTTTAAGGTGTTTAACAAATGAAAAATTACCGTATGAAAATATTCTAGGAGCAGTCAAAGGAACGGAGCTGAGTGCTCCTAGGTGGTTCAGGACAGCGCACCTGAATCCATGGCATTGAGCGTAATGCACAAAAGTCCTTATATAAACACTTTCTGATGTGTTGCATATCCCTGGTACGACCACAATAGTCAAATCACCTGCGGAAACATAATTTTAAATTAGTAGATTTAATAAGCTGTATGAAACTTTAGTCCCCCAGCCCTTTTTAATGCATTAGTAATTTCAATTAAAAAAAAAATTTCTTCTGATTACCTATTTCTTACGATAAAAACTTTTTTAATCACTATAAATTAAAATGGAAAAAATCCTACGTGTCTTTTCCCCCATATTTGGCATTCAAGTAGACAAGCAAAATTTATGCAGCAGATTTACCTCACGGATAAAATCATTCTGAGTGAATAAAAATCGCTCATCATCCGCTTTCTCCTCCTATTCTAGCTGTTTGTCTTTAGCCATTCTTTTCTTTGCCTTAATTACTAGCATGCTGCTCAAACTACAAATAAACTAGTTAAGAACTGGACTGATTAAAAATAAACTAGTTTAGAACTGGGTCTGAGGACAATGTGCAGTTAGAACTTGCAGTTATTTATTTTTTATACTTGGTTTTACTTTATTTAAAACATTTGTTGTATGCACAATTATTGGGAAAATATTTGTCAAAAAAAAGTTAATTTTATTCCCATGCAATAATTAACTATATATACAATCCATGCTTTAACGATAGTATAAAATCATGCATATAAAATTTACAAGTTCAATTTTACACCCTCGGAGTGTCAAAATCAGAAAACCCACCTTTTCAGGATTGCCATTTTTAAGTTAGACGGGATTAAGTAACTTTTTTTTATTGTGTTCAAATTTCATCAGATTCAATATTGTATACCTTGCTAGTAAATAGGTATTTTTTAAAATTATATTTTGACTCTTTGGTATTTATTACATCATGCATCGAAATTTATCTGGTCTTTATTATTAATTTAGAGCACTTGGTGATTATCATTCCGCTAAATTATGCAATTAATAACAGATATATTTGACTTGCTAGGTGGGTGACACGGGATAGGTCAATGAGTTATTATACAACCATTAAATTTTACAGTGAGATAACTGCACCAATTCACCTGTTATCAACAAAACAAATGCTACAAGACGGTAAAAAAACAAAAAAAAAACTGTTGCACCAAGACAAAATACGATAATAAGAATTATCAAAAATTTTCCATGACTTTTTAAGATTGGAAACAAAACACTTAAATATCATTGAGACCTCGGATGATAAATAGAAGAAAACTGGGAGATCAAGAATTGTTTTGTTGTTTTTTTACCTTCAAAACCTCATCCCTGATCATCATCAAATATAAAATAAAACTTTCGAGCAATGTTTTATATCTGAGAAATCTGTTCTAATGTGAAATTTCAACTTAAGAAGTTTCCTACACCAATGAAAAAAAGAGATTCCATAGAAAAACAAACTTCTTCCTTATCCAGGACCCCCTCACACCATCGAATTAATTACGATAATTTTTTGAACGGTCAAACATTCTAAATAAAAAAGAATCATGTTCCTCATCTCTCAAGACTCTCCATATTTCGTCGAAAGAATTGCGAAAGCATTAGTTTTTTTCAATTTAAAACAATTTAAACGACAAAATTTAGCTACAGGGGTTTTGTCACAATTTGCAAGAGGCTAAGGACGTGGGAACGCCGATTTTAACAAATAATTATAAATAACTCAATATTTCCAGCCAGTTTTGATCATATATGAATGGTACAGGGGAAAAAGCAGCTATGCCATTTTGTTCCTGAAATTGAGATTTAAGAGCCCAAATAGTTGCTCTTCAGGACTACTAATAAACCACTAGGAAGGAAAAATACAATTTTTCAAGGTGAAGAGTCAAAATCTGCTATAAGGGGGAAAAAGAAGGAAGTTTGTCCGAGCGTCCAAAGGAAAAAAAGAGGTATGAGCATTGGAGCTGCTCAGTTTGATGGCAAAAAAAGGACTTAAGAAGTACAAGAATTTTACAACTGAAAAGAGAAAGCAAGGATAGAGTTTAAAAAAAACCAGAGTATTTCTAGGCAATATTAACGGACTATCAGAAGAACCTTTACCGAATATCATGAAGAATCTGGATCTCGGTACAGTCGCGGTGAAAAAAAAATAATTAATTTCTTATCTGCCAAGTTGTTGAACTACATATAAGGTCATCATAGGGCAAAACAATCTTAAATAAAGATTGTAGACATCTTTATTATTGCTTTGCTATGATGCCTTAAAATAGGTCGAAATCTTGGCAGATAACATTTGAATTTGTTTTTCATCCATACTGTACAAGATCCAAATTATTCCTAAGTAAGTAAAGTAGGCGATACATCTAACATTATACCAAATATAACCACAAACAACATATACAACCGACATAAACTCATATACAGTTAATGCATACATGCTTCGTAGTTCTGAACGGTTTTTTATTCTTAACCTGAAACAATTGTTAAAAAAAGAAGTAACTAAGTTATTTGTTTTGGGGTTTTTTATTTTTAATCTTAAACAATTGTTAAAAAATGAAGCAACTAAGTTATTTGTTTTTTAATCATTTAATTTTTACCAATCTTCATCAAGGAGTTATAAAACTAGAAATATTCTGAGATTTGTACGGGGTCAAAATAAGAATTGGCTTCTTTTTTATTTCTAGTATATTACAAAAAAGGTTTTGACTCTGTGAAAGTTATATTCCCGGTATGCGAACATTCCTACTTGAAGTGAGGCAAAAATATGGGACTAATTAATCTTAAAACAAAAATGAAGGTGCCTCCTGACTGGTACGACCTGCTAAGAGCTTCAAGAGTAAAACCTCAATCATTCAAAGTCATTAAGATCTCCCAAAACATGATCAGAGACTGGAAAACATTATTCACGAACCATGCCACTGAATTTAAGGGCTTTAAAGGGTGCTTAAAATGAATGAAAATTGTACTTCTCAAACAATAATTTTTTTGTTTTTTAGAAGTTTCTTTTTGTTTTTGTAACTTTTCATATATCTAATCTTGTTTAATACGACTCTGCATATTATTTACTTATCTTTTGTCAGAAAAAAAAAAAAAAATAAATCGACTGATATATAATAACCTTGAATATATGCACAACAAAGGCAGAAAAAATGTTTTTCTTGGCTCCTGAGAATGATTGGAAAGATCACTTGGACATGCATCTAGTATTTTTCAACCTAGTATCACTAAAAATAGTTTAGTTAAAATCGGTCATACCATGTTTATAGCCTTCCTTCAATAGCAATAATAACTTTTCTAAAAATATATATATTATTAATAAAATTTTTATGGCTTAAGGGGAAACGTAAGTTAAAAAATTTAATAACTTTTTAATTTTAGGCAGTAAAACTGCTTAATGTTATTCTATTTTTCCTGATATCCTTAAATTAATATTTATTACATTTTAATAACAGTTTTGAAAAAAGTTTAGTTTCTATGGCAAGAGGAAATAACTAAAACATTTTCACACGAGTTAAGGGGATTTTCAAACAAATTGGCAATTGAGCTAAGTGGGCTGTGAATTGGATGGCCTTTAAAAAATTTAAAAAATCATTTATGAAACTTTACTATGATATGGTTTTGTTTGAAGGTTGTTTTTAGTCTATTGAGTCACCACTTTTTTTTAGACTAATCTTTAATTTATTGATTTAAAAGAGAACTGGACCATGCGTTTGAAATTGCAAATAGACCTCCCACTAATGGAAAACAAATTTAAAGCTTTTGTTAAATAAGGAAAACAATGGATCGATTAGAAAAACAGAATGGTTTCAAATTCGTAACGATGAGTCACAATCAATGTATATTGCGTAGCCTTGACCTCCAAGCAAGAATTGAAATATTAATTTTACTCCTGCCTAATACAGATTTACAATTCAAACCACTTATTTAAATACATTTACACAGACGCTAATTATATCCATTGATTATTTTTACATCTGGTCGATAATTCACTTAAAATACGATAAACATGCTGTTAATTTGTAAAAAGAGAATAAGGAGAAAATAAGCGTTAAAAGGCAATCCGTGGAACTTACCTCTGACATTAAAACGTCAGTTCTACCATGGACTTAGTGAAAATAAAAAGAAAATAAACCAGAGAATGGACTTGGCTTTTTGTTTTGTCTTTATACACTACTTTAAAAACAAACGGTGTTTTCAGCACGGCACCAGTTTGTACCTGACAGAAAACAATTTGTACCTTTTGTTAATTCACATTATAACTTGCTACATCTAGGAAATTGACAAGTCAATTTTCTACCAAGGACACCTGCCAATTTCGCTTCATGGAATTATTCAATTCAACAGTCCATTTAATTAATTGTATATTACTAGACTAAGTGAAACATTCAAATTTTTATATTACGTTCCAGTGACTGGAGTTGCTGTTAGTATTAAATGAATGGAATTTTTTTGTGTAAAAATTAGTGGATTAATTTACTCTTATGCCAATAGAGTAAAGATTGTTTAAGAGACCATAAATAGTACATAAATTTAGGTATTTTTTTCTCCCTTTGGAGTCAGAGGGATTGGTCCTTTAAATTAAAAATAAATAATTAATTCAATTAATTATTCTTTTTATCTAAGGTCTTAGTTGAGATGGAAAAGTTAGTGTCACAAGCGGGATTCGAACCCATGGCCTTCAGCTAGGTCCGAAAGCTTAAGGTTGTGGGTTCGAATCCCGCTCAGGCCACTAACTTTTTCATCTCAACTAAGATCTTAGATAAAAATAATAATTAATATGGTCAATTATAACCACTACACATATATGAAATAAATAATTAACTTAAGCACTTAAAACAATTTTGTCTGTTGTGTCCGATCTCTATTAATGGTATTCCTACATTTTATTTATTTATTTTTTTAAATGAAGTACAAAATTCTTATCAGGGGTATGTTAACAAAATCAATATTGCACAAGAACCGCTTTTGTAGACTTTTTCTTGCTATTACAGGGCAATGTTTGCCATCTTAAAATTTTTTTGAAGAGAAAAACTATTGAAGCATGTCCTGTAAATATGTCAGTTGTGTCTATCTCATATCTGCTTGTGGTCCTGGGTTCAAATCCCAACAGGGTTTTTTTAATTGATCATAATATGTAAAAAGTAATTTAAATTACTAAGCAATTTCCTTTTTATTCCATTGATTTTTTTCCTCTCCCTAGTAGTCTTTTTGTTTGCCTCATGCTTATTCTTTACTAGCCCAGAAGTCCAGTTCTTTTTAGGTGTCTGCTGCATTGTCTGAAACTTCCACAGACCTGAGATCTTAACATCAGGCTATTTGTAGATCTCAGCTTTCTTAGAGTAATCAGTCAGTTCCAGAGTAGTTTTGAGTTGGGCGTTTTGATTTCATTCTTTTTTCCAAAATTTATATAGTGGTATTTTTTAAGTCTATAGATTTATGTTACAAAAAAGCTACAACACGTGTTAGTAATACAAACATTTTATCAACAAGAAAACTAAACCAGGTTTTCATTAGCCTCAAAAATGGATGTCAAAAGTTAATAGAGCAATAAAGTAAAAAATCTCATAAAAGTGAGCACTACACATCAAATAATACGCTTATATTGGAAAAGTCATTACCGAACAATCCAATAAGTTTGACATGATGAGCTATACATTTTCCCAATGCGATCGTTATTGACCTCTTAATGTACAATGATATATTTCTTCTTATTTACTCAAATAAATTGTTCAAAATTGTTTTTTTATTTTTCTTAATTATTACAATTACTTAAAATATATACAATAAAATTTCAAGGTGGATAAGTACATTGGGTGTGAAAATTAGGTCTAAATCAAATTTGATTTTTTTTTTTTCAAAACAACTTCAATTTTATAAAAAGAGTTTTTTTCGGGGGGTTGATGCAGAATACAATTCTTTCCTCCACTGCGATCTTTTAGATTTAGCCCCCTTCTTCTTGTAAAAGGTATGAGATATGTTCTTACGGTTGATGTGTAAACAGAACATAAAAAGAGTTATCCGCTTTTCAGACTAATTGTAAGTGAATGAATCACTTCAACTACAAGGCCAAATTGTGGGTTGATAGGAGGGTTTTGATTTAAGAGACCTCCATTTTAACGTGTTCAATCCTGACGCAACTCACTTTATTTTTTCTTCTTCAAATTTTTAATTCTACTTCTACTTCTTTTAAGAAGAGTGTTTTTAGAAGATGGTGATTAATTGAGACCGAAGCAATCCTTTAAGTAGGAAAAAAAAACCTTAAGTCTTTATAAATTAAAATTATCTGGTGTTATTTTTTATATTATCAAAACTGAAAAAAAAATTCTTTAGTGTAATTTAAATTTAAAATTTTTTTCTTTAATAAATTGCAATCTTATATCAAACCCACAGGAGAAAATGAGAGTAATTCTTTCCTTTTTTAAATAATTATTTTTATAGCCATAGAATTTCTATGAGTGGAAAATTTTGAATTTTTTCTGACCATGCTTGAATTTTTGTTTCTAAAAACAGACAGTATATTTGGAGCTATTCCAAAGGTAAGGGACCCTTAAACACTGATGAACTTCCAACGTACACAATACGAAAGCGGCCAAATTTCAAAGGTAAACGACCTCTAATAACAATAAACTTTTAACTCTTAGTAAACATAAAAATAAATAAGCTCCAAGGATAGGTAAATTCATAGGGATAAACTATGAAGGTAAACAAACAAAGCTAAAATAAGGGAAAACTAAATAAAAATATTTAAAAGTTAATGAACTTTTCCACACAAAAAATAATATATCTGGATGACTAGGATATTAACGGATTATCATTCCAACTCCCAAATTTTACAAAGGCTTTTTTCAAATTTATTTTGACGAGATAAAAATCAATGAATCCCCTTAACATTTTTATCTTCTAGCTTAACAGTTATCCTATTATAGCCCTGATAATCCTCCATGACGTGAAAGTGGGCTAGAGAAGTATGAGTGACTCATTTTAGAAATTCANAGTTTTTATTATTATTATTATTTTTTTTAGTTTTAAAGTAAAACAAAGCTATATTTTAGAGTTGTTCAATCCATGTTTTTAAAACAGTTTTATCTCTACCATGAGAAACCGGAACGATCGGAATATTTTTTTCCAAACCACCTGTAGCATTTGAATGACAAATATGCTATAATTTTATTCCAATTATGTTTGTATACTGTGTTGAAAGAGAACAGTACCTTTATTTGTCATAATGATACATAAGATGAACCCCCACCAAAAAAAAAGAAAGAAAAAAAGCTGTGACATACTTTCATAATGCCTTTCAAGTAAACTTTTTGTTAGTACAATAAACAATTTAAGCTAACAAAACCGTAGATTAGATTGAACTGGAGCAGTTTGTGAAAAATTGGGTAAATGTTCTGGTATGAAGTTTTACAAGTCAATCGTTATACTTTAACGTACCATGATTGTATCAGCCTTAATATAAATATAAAGGGGACCGCAACGATGGTACGTTAACTAACAAAACCGTAGATTAGACTGAACTGGAACAGTTTGTGAAAGATTGGCTAGAAGTTCTATAACTTTTACAAGTCAATTGTTATACTTGAACCATGATTGTATCAGACTTAATTTAACAGGAGACTGTAGAGGTGAAGGAAGTGGTTAGGGCGTACAAGTCCTAGTGGTTCAGGGTTCAAATCCCAGCCTATGGCTTTTTAATTGGGAATAGTATGGAAGAAATATTGTAAATTGTCCTTGACAGTGAACGCCTAGTTGGATTTTAAGCCCTCCTACATCACGAATTGCTACTTTGCTAGTAATGCAGAATGGACGGGTGATAGATCACCATTCTATTAAACAAAAATGATAACTTTATTATGCCATAATATTTAATGGGTCTATAGATCCTAAGTCCTGATTTAGAGGGATTCTTTGAAAGCTTGACGAAGGAAATGAATTTTTTTCCAAATTCATCTTATCCCCGATCTTTTGTGCATAATTGTATCACTTTATAGGTGTCGTGAAAGATTAGAAAATTGCTATTGGGAATCAAATCTGCGACAGGTTGAATATGACAAACAGAGAGGTTTGTAACTTGAAATCATTATGTATCTTATGGTAATTTAGATGAACTGTCAAACTTATAGTGAAATTGGTGAAAATTGACTTATCAATGGCACCTGATGACAGGTGAAGTGTTCTCGATAAGAAACAATTTCGACTTACATTTGGCTTTGACTATCGGCTGATACAGATCGAAGGTGAGAGTACTTCCGTCGGACAGCACCAGCACGCACCGCTCTCCGATCGGCCACGGACACTTAACCCTACCGATAATGCTGTGCACAATGGTCTGGATGTGACCGTTGTATCCCCACAGCCTCGTCGGAAAGTACCTGGAATGAAAAACCGTATGAAGCAAGCGGTTGAGACGATAAATTGATTTCCTCCTTACGACTCGTCCAGATTGGGTACCATCTTGACCAGGACGGCCAAGAAGTCCGTGTCGTTGCAGTATACCCTCGGTTTCTGAGATTGGCTGTTGATATTCAGCACTTTGAAGACGAACCATAAAAAAACGGCGACGATAGCCACCAGTGCGGCAGACATGGTTTACAGATTATTCCTTTCTGTCAATATTCATCGGTGCGTACCTCGTGAGGTCTATCAGGCCAATTCGGCTCAGACGGTTCTATCCGCAACATACATGATACAAAGTGTTAAGGAGAAGGGAAAAAAATCAAATACCTGATAGTCCTCGGGTGAAACTGTCGGAACTAAAATGCGTGAGTCAAAGAGTAAATACGTATCGAGATAAACCGGGGACGAGAGAACAACAACCCTAAACACATTCTCTTGCCGACTGGAACCGTAAAGGCGTAAACCTGGTTGAACGTTGAACACGTAGCTACCACCTCCACCGGACAATGCCACCACTCCCGTGGTTCCACTCGCTAACCAATGGTCACGCCCCTTGGAAAACCACGACTAATACGACTAACGGTGACCTTGCCTTGCTAAATATTTGAAACATTAACCAATTCAACAGGGCAAATAATTTTTAACCACCCCTCGTATAAAAATAAAATGGATTGAAGACAGAAGATCTTGCAAGTAAGTCGAATGTTAAAATAAAATGAATTTTTTTTTCCAAATGAAATCTCCCTTCTTTCGTTTATACCTTAAAATCTTATTGACAAATGGATAACAAATCATTAGATAAGATATATTTAAAGAAAAATCATATGTAAAAAATAAATAATTGCGTGATATTATGAAAAATTTTCATTAAATGTAACTACGTACATGACATTTCCCGTTTTTAATAAGTATGTACGTAGTTTTAGGATTTCTGTTGGTCATTTCGGATCTGTTTTGGTTTCTTTGTCGCTATCGGCTTTTTTCGATCATCAGCGGAAGGTTTGTAATTGCCTCAACCTGCTTATAACCCTGATCAAACTTGATCGAATTAAAACAATATCTTTCTTTTTGTCCATTTTTCTTTGTATGTTCCAAGTTGATCTAATTGCTAATGAAATGTTTTTTGACGTTTCGGAGTGGAAGGTATGTTACTTGCCTTAACCTGCTTATAACCCTGATCCAACTTGATTGAGTTAACACAAATCTTTCTTTTTATCCATTTTTGTTTGTAGGTTCCAAGTTGATCTAATTGTTAACAAAAAAATTTTTTTTGACCTTTCGGAGTGGAAGTTTTGTTCATTGCCTCAACCTGCTTATAACCCTGATCAAACTTGATCGAATTAAAACAATATCTTTCTTTTTGTCCATTTTTCTTTGTATGTTCCAAGTTGATCTAAATTGCTAATGAAATGTTTTTTGACGTTTCGGAGTGGAAGGTTTGTTACTTGCCTTAACCTGCTTATAACCCTGATCAAACTTGATTGAATTAAAACAATATCTTTCTTTTTGTCCATTTTTCTTTGTAGGTTCCAAGTTGATCTAATAGTTAATAAAATTTTTTTTGACGTTTCGGAGTGGAAGGTTAGTTACTTGCCTCAATCTGCTTATACCCCTGATCAAACTTGATTGAATTAAAACAATATCTTTCTTTTTGTCCATTTTTCTTTGTAGGTTCCAAGTTGATCTAATTGTTAATAAAAAATTTTTTTACGTTTCGGAGTGGAAGGTTTGTTAATTGCCTCAGCCTGCTTATAACCCTGATCAAGCTTGATTGATATTTTTAGTCTTGTGAGACGGGTTTCGGCTTTTTTCCATCGTCAGTGTAAGTTTCCTGGCCTCAACCTGCTTATAACCCTGATTAAACATGATTGAAATAAAAGAAAACTATCCTTATCTTTGTCACCTTTTCTTGTTAGTTCCAAGTGGATTTAATTGTTACTTAAATGTTTTTGGTCTTGTCAGATGCGTTTCGGCTTTTTCCAATGGTCAGCGGAAGGTTCCTGGCCTCAACCTGTTTATAACCCTGATCAAACTTGATTGAATTAAATCAGATCTATCTTTCTATTTTCCCTTTTTCTTTGCAGGTTCCAAGTTGATTTAATCGTTAATTAAATGTGTGTTTTTTTTACGTTTCGGAGTGGAAGGTTGTTACTTGCCTCAACCTGCTTATACCCTGATCAAACTTGATTGAATTAAAAAAAATCTCTCTTTTTCTTTGTAACTTTTTCTTGTTAGTTCCAAGAGGATTTAATTGTTACATGTCACCTCTCCGTGGAAATATAAAATATAAAATTCTTTCCAGAAACAAAATAATATTTTATTGATTTTTTCTAACAAATTCAAAACAAAATACACCTTTTTTGTAAAGTAAAATAAAATGTATTTTTATTGATTTTCTTTAATGAACTCAAAACAAATACACTTTTTTTTGTAAAATAAAATAAATTATATTTTTATTGATCTTTAATAAACTCAAAACAAAATACCCCCTTTTTTTTGTAAAATAAAATAAATTGAAATGAACAAATAAATTTAACTGGCGATCACTCAAAGGATATACGGAATTAAAAGAAATGATCTTAAATACCTTGTGTTTTTAATTAGGTTGATCCTGCTCGGGTTCAGGAGAGAGAGTGTCTGAACTCTGTCCCCTCGAGCTCCTCTATGTTTATCTTTCTTTTATTTTCATTGGTACCAACCTTTTAAACTTCTTATTAATTAATTTTATTATTATTTTTATCTATTTTAGTTTATATTATTAATTTAATTTTAATTAATTTTAATTTTTTTGGGACATCTGTTTATAAGAGACGTTACACATAAATATTTTTGGTCATTTCGGATTTGTCAGATGCGTTTCGGGTGTTTTCCGTCATCAGTTGAAGATGCCTTGCCTCAACCTGCTTATAACTCGGATCAGACTGGTCAATTAAAACAAATCTATTTTTCTCAATTTCCCGTTTCCCTTGTAGGTTCCAGTTAGAGATATTCTTACTTAAAATAATGAAAGGTGAAAGCGAAACAACTCAAATGACAAAATTTATCAAATTGAAACAATGCCTTTTGTTGGGCATGTAATTCAAGGTTATTATATATCAGCTGATTTGTTTTCTGTCCTAAGATAATTAAATAATATGCAGGATCGTATTAAATGATATTAAAAATATGGAAAAAATACGAAAACAAAATTACATAAATTAATTAATTCCAGTTACGTAGGTCATTTTGTTAAACCAGTTCGGATTCGTTTTAAGTATTCTTTATAGCCCACGAATACGTAGTGTTATGTCTTTTTGTATAGTTTTCAAGTTTCTAAATTATTAACGAGGAAAGAAAACCAAGAGGTTCTTGAGGTCTTCGGGGTAATGAACGTTCAACCAGTAGCTATATACATTGGTTTTATGATGAAAGTAAACTCAGGAGGTTTTTTCTTGACGTCTTCCAGGTGATGAACCTGTCGTTTCCTTTCAATTTTATCTTGGCTGTTCTCGCTGTTTCGACCTGTCATAAGACCAACTTTTACAATATTATTTTATTTGTACCCAAAAAATGTTTACGGGCATGGCATTCAGTATGAGGGATTAAGGGGCAAGGAGGTCTCGAGGCCATTATCAATTAAGGCGACGTGGCGTTCTCGAGTACTATCTTATACTGAGATTTTATCTTACGGGCCGATTTTGCTGATGCCGTCAGGGAACTGAAACTGAACCTTATATGCATTAGGGCGGGTGTTTCTCAGGGAAGCATACTTGGCCCATTTCTATTTTCAATATACACTCGAGATATTCCTACACATGTTAATATTTCAACACATACATTCGCTTATGATATAACGATTCTTTCACGTAATTCGGACCCCTCAATTAACACCCAGCACTTACAACAGCACCTGAATGAATTAACAGTATGGTTCACAAAGTGGAGAATGAAGATAAACCTAACGAAAAGCGTACAGATAAATTTTACCTTACGTGAAAATTCACTAATTTCGTGGTCCGCTTGACCAATTAATATATTACAATTAATTAAGGTTTTTAGTTGAGATGAAAAAGTCAATGGCACGAGAGGGATTCGAACCCACGATCTTCGGCTTGATACGCCGCTGCTCTACCACTTGAGCTATCGTGACCTCGATCCACTCGGACACTTCCCATCTCAACCGCACCTTTTGAATTTTCCCTCCTTTTTGCCATTTTTCAAATGTCGTGTAATCGGGTTGGATTCTCGATCCCTCTCGTGCCATTGACTTTTTTATCTCAACTAAAAACCTTACGTAAAAGTATTTATTGGGCAGTGGGTGTAGAATCCCATTGCCTACCACTGACCTTGTGCGTTATCTTGGACTTTTCATGGATAAACTGACTTGGAATCCCCACACAAGAATGAAAAGACAGCAGACAAACCGACGTTATAAATTATTAAAAATACTGCTTGACTCAAGATCAAAATTAGACAATGAAAACAAAGTTTTAATTTACAAGACAATGATTAGACCTGTCTGGGCGTATGGTTGTGAAGTGTGGGCTCAACCAAGGATTCCAATTCCAACGTTTCCAATCAAACCAATATAAAATTCTCCGTCAAATTATAAACGCTCCTTTTTACGTTTCAAATTACACTATTCATAACGATCTACACATCCCGTTTGTACTTGAACTCATCAAAACCCGCTATAAAAAATTTCAACAATTACTGAACACACACTAATCTAATAATACGATCACTTCCAACCCTACCTGGAAATCCTCCAAGACGATTAAAGCGAAAGTGGCCACGAGACCTTCTCATTGAGTGAAGCCTGAACAAGATTTTAGTGTAAAAAAAATGTTTCCACTGGGAAACTTCTCCTAAAAGAGCCTTAAATGATAAATTCAACATCAATGAACATATTATCTTAATACAATATTTGTAGTTATAAATATCAAATAAATGTAATTAAAAAAAGATTTATTTTGAATAATGGTTTATTAGCACCTTGTTTATTATAAAATACACTACTAGTTTCGACGCTCGATTGGTGGCACCCTTTTCAAGTGTTTTGTTGGAGATTAAATTTTTGTTAACTTGTTTTTTTTTTTTTTTTCTCGAAGGTGTCCCGACGGACGTGTAGCCACCAGTGGTAAAAAATAAGCCCATAAAAAAAGGACGTCGGGGACGCGAGAAAAGGATAGAACACCTGTCAGATTGAGATATTGGGAACGAATTGGTAGAAAATGAACACCAAAAAAAAGACAAATACAAGTTAACAGAGACAATCTTCAATGAAACACTTGAAAAGGATGCCACCAATCGAGCGTCGAAACTAGTAGTGTATTTTATAATAAATAAGGTGCTAATGAACCATTATTAAAAATAAATATTTAATAGAAACCTTAGCATAATTCAACAAAACGATTTATTTAAAAAAAAGTTAATAATTGTTTTACAAATATATAAAACAAATCTGATTCTGCCCCTTCAATTCTAAACACTAACGCAATACCTAACTGTCGTGCGGGTTTAGTCTATATCAGTAATTTGTGGAACTCCAGGCATTTTTTTTATATAAACCCTCAGGGTGCCGGTGTTTTTGAAAAAAAGCCCATTTGTAAGTAAGTCGGGTTCGAATGCAGGGCTGCTGGATTCGAACCCGGGACCTTCACCTTACAGTGATGAGCGCCGTGTCAAAGACTAAACCTTGCGGCCGTCGACGCCCCCTAATGGC